TATATAAATGATAAATTGATCTTACAAAATGGCATAATTTCTATGGAGTCTCATGAGATTTTTTTATCATTAAAGAATTAAAAAAATAATTAAATTGCCTTCAAACAAAACAAACACCTCTGAAATACAAATGACTATTAAATTATTGTAAATTTAAAAAAAAATTATTAATATAAGAATAAAATTGTGAATAAAAAGTTACGAGTTTTCAACATTTGATACATATCAAAAACTTGCATATGCATTGTAAAACGACTATTGAATTATTACGAATTTAAAAACAAAATTTGTTAATATAGGAATAAAAGCTGTAAATGAAAAGTTATGAATTTTTAACACTTAATGTATATCAAGACTTGCAGATGCGGAGTTGTAAATAACTATTATGAATTTAAATAAAAAATTATTAATATAAGAATAAAAGTTTGTGAATGAAAAGTTGTAAATTTTTAACACTTGATGTATATCAGAACCTACAGATCAAGACTTGTCAATAATTATTAAATTATTATGAATTTAAAAATAAAAATTATTAATATATAAATAAAAATTGTGAATGTTTTTAATATGAATAAATAGTAAAAGTGCCATCTCTTATGATTTTTAATGACTGAAACATCCTTAAAACTCTACAAAAATTATGTCAGAGATTAATTTATTATTTATATAATTTTAAATGAACTTTTCTGTCATTTTTCTTACTTTTTAAACTCATGAGATTATTTACGCACGATCTGAGGTTGAAATATATAAAATTAAAATAAATGCATACAATCTTCTGCGCCTGGTCAGCCGGGATGCGTGTCTGCAGTCCGCAGGTGTGAGTGAACTATTATTATTACGGGGAAAAAGTGTTTTATTGTAAAAACATTTATGTCATAGACCGGGTTTTGGGCTTCGATAAGCGAGTTAAATGGCAATTGTGGGTTTTCACTTGGAGCGGGTCCGTCTAGTTGGGCCGGTAATTGAAAGAGGCCAGCAAAAATCTTCAAATAGAATTATTGCTCAACCCAGTTTTTTTTTTTTTTTTTAAAGAAAAGCAAAACAAAAGGAGCTGGCTAGAATAATCACAAACCCTTATTGAGATGTGTATCCGTTAGAAGTGCTGTTCTTCTTACATGAGTACAAATAAATGAATGATCCATGAAGGTGTTGTGCTTGGAAATTTTTCGATACGGGTAACATTTGTTGAAAGCAACATCAGTTGTTTAATACTATAGATAGGATAGGAAGATGGACACAAGCATGAAAATGATTCCTTGTACTTATCCACCAAAGGCTCTCGGATTCGCTTTATAAAAAACATCTGCTGGGAACCATCAATCCCTGTGAATCCGAGCGCCTGATTCGCAATTCTTGACATAAATGGAAACCCAAGTGCCAGTGACTTGGATCGGGTGTATAGAGTATGTGTTTGGCTAAAAAAAAAGAAGAAAGAAAGAAAGGGTATTTTAGTTCATCAACTTTAAAAAAGTTAATAACTATTTTTTCTTTGAATTAATTTATTTGTTTTTACCCCGTAAAAATGCGGTGGATTTAGCGTATGTACGTAGTTAAGGAAATATTATAGATACTGGGCCAAAAAGGGAAATATTAGAAATTAGAATTAGAAATATTAGGAACATGGTTTGCATGAAATATTAAAATATGAAGGTGTGCACCAATTAAAGTATCGGAGTGACGGGCAGCGGTAAAAGATATATTATAAATTCCTATGACACACGACTTTTAAAACAACAACAACAATAATAATTAGATAATTAGATTAAATAGATTAGATTTATTGAAATAAGTTGTAGTAGTTGGCTTTGCTGTAAAATTTACATTATATAATTTTGACCATTTTTTTAAATAACTACGAATTTATGAATGTTTAGAGAAATATTAATTTAACCGGAAAAAAAAACTAAACTAGGAAGTGGGAACGAAAGAGGCTGTAATGTATAAAGTAGTAGTATATAATATATAATATGTAATATAATTAAAAGCATTAATTATTTTATCCGTTCATCCAAAAATGGAAACATCAAATCAAAATCATTTTTTCTCGAAAACCCAGGGCATAATTCTTGGCCTAACAACAGGCCGCACTCAATCATCAAACTATGAGGTCAACCCAAAGGCAGAGGCTGAGGATGAAATGAGAGTATATAAAAACGCGGACGGGCGATGAGGTTAGGGTGCATGAATTGTTTATCTCTGGGGTCATAAAGTGCATGGGAGGGAATAGGTATCGGTGAGCGGTTAATTGAAGTCTTTCAATTGGTGGAAGCTTGACGAACAAGACTGCGCTAGTTAAAAGAATATGCTTTTTGGTTTGCAGGTGTCGCAGGTCAAGTCACATTACGGGGGGACGAAGAGGGGATTCACCCAATTCAGAGAAAAAGTGAATTTGTGCTTCTTCATGATCCATGCCCAGAATGAAGCATCTACTCAGAAAGCTTCACATCGTTGGTGGTATAAATGATCACCAGAGATTATCGCCTGAGACTCGCCCAGTGCTCAGCCCCACTCCCAATCTTACTTTATCTTCTTCTGCTTTGTCGTCCCCTACAATGCCTTCCGCCACTGCAACTGAATCGGTTTCTGATCGGACGGCTGTTGATGTCCCCCTGGCGTTGGTGGCGACAAGGGTGTGGATTTCAGTCTCTTGGAGGAGGAGTTTCAGATGCAGTTGGCTTTGGCAATTAGTGCTTCTGATACTGACGTCCGCAAGGACCCCGATTCTGCTCAGATCGATGCTGCCAAGCAGATGAGCCTCGGATGTCAAACTTCTGTTACTGACACGGAAGCCCTCGTCCAGTTTCAATCTCTTCGTTATTGGGTATTTTTGTTTTCATATATAATTGATGACTTGGCATGCCTTCAGTTACGATTATTATGGCCTCGAACTTTAGTAGCGCTGGAGTGAGGATTAGGGTTAGGGCCATTGTTGTTTGGGCGATGATGATTCATGATTGGCCTTAACTATCTACTTCACCGTCGCAAATAATTGGTTTCTCGGTAATGTAGGAACTATACTCATTTTCTGATAAATGAAATCTTGTCGCCATCCATCAGCAAATAAATGATTCTCAGCTAGATTTACATGGACCAATAACAATAACTAAAACTAAGTATTTCTTTTTGGTATTTCAGTTCATATTGAAGTTCAATCCACCCGAGCATATTACTATCTATAGAAAATCACCATTCAATGGCCATTTAAAGGTCAAATCTTGTTCATGATGCTACGATTTCTAACAAGTATTCAATTTATCACTCACAGAACTACAATCTCATTGACTACGAAGAGAAACTGAGGGATGGGTTTTATGATGTTTATGGAATCACCTCAAATTTAGTTGAACGAGGAAGGATGCCATTGTTGGTTGATCTGCAAACTACATCCATCTCAGAAAATCTTAATTATGAAGTGATTTTGGTGAACCGCACGGTTGATATTGAGCTGAAGCAGCTTGAGAAAAGAGCCTATAAATTATCCAAGAGCTCCCTCATTTCTGACCAAGGACTAATCTTAAGTGGCCTACTTCAGAAACTTGCTGACATTGTTGTTAATAGAATGGGTGGGCCGGTTGGTGATGCTGATGAAATTTTGAAAAGGTGGACCATGAGGAGCCGCGAGTTAAGAAATTCCTTAAGAACCATTATTCTTCCCATTGGCTGTCTTGATGTTGGACTTTCACGTCACCGAGCCCTACTTTTCAAGGTTGAAATACGTTTCAGTGTCTCATTTAAATGGCTTTCCAAATTGACACACATGAGTTTTTTCATTTGGCAATGAACACTTGACTGCTTGAGATAGATTCTTTTTTGTCTTCTAATCATCATTCCCTTGTATTTGGATGCATTCATTCGACATGGGGCAGTATGGTGGCCCATTTAGCTTGATCTGTCTGTCAAGTGACAAGTTGTGAGTATAATGGTAGCATGATTATCATATCTGGGCTTGGAAGTTGTTGACGATTTTCTTTTAACCTGATGGAAAACGATAAAGCAACCTTAAGTGTAGCATTTACATTTCCGACTTGATTATATGGGCTATATACAGAAAGCTATAATGAATTTTCCCTGTCTGTCTGTAAGAATTAGTTACCATGTTACCCTCAATATTGACATTTATCTGAAGCTATCCATGCCATTGTTCTTGGTGCTTAGGTACTTGCAGATAGAATTAATGTTCCGTGTATGCTGGTCAAAGGGAGTTATTACACCGGAACTGATGACGGAGCTGTGAATTTGGTTAAAGCTAATGATGGAAGGTAATGTTCTTTTGGTAAAGCTTTAGTTCCCTTGTATTAAGTTTACTCAGTGCAGCTTTGGTCTGCCCCTTATCTTCTATATTTAATATTTGCTTGGGGATCTTTGTTGTCGGGGTCTTATCTGTATGATCTCCCCAGCCCCTCCCACCCTCCCTCTCCCCCCTCTCTAAATATATATTTAAAGCAGTTCAAATATATATATTTTTTACATGAAAAATGGGCTTTATAACTTCCTGCAGCTTCTTTATTTCATTTTTTAATAAAAATGATTTATTATTTTTTTAACAAAGTAAAGTAATTACGATGTAATTTTTATCTGAAAGGTTAGTTTATAAAATATATTAGAGAATTGACATGCAAGCCACTAGTGTAAGCGATGCCTATTCGGATTTGTTGTTGAGTTAAAAATCCATTACCAAACTTTATCATCATGGTAGAGGTAGGCTAAAGATGGCTTCTGAAAGAAAGTTTATCTTATACTCTTTTGTTTTGTAGTCTCATTACACTGCAAAAAACCTGCCTCATTTGAGTAAGAGAATTTGGTTCTCCCGTATTTAGTTCAGAAGAGCATAACATTCTTGAAAGGCATGGATAGCGCTCATGTGGTGAATTTGGTTTATGTTGTGACTTGTGAGAGCTAAACTATTTGTTGCAAACTGGTGGATATTGTATAGAAGTACATTAACAGCACTCTATGCCTTTTGGATGCTCTAATTTCTATAAGGTGCTCAATGTGAACTTAACTTTTAAGAGAACAAATTGGATCACAAACCATGCGTTTTGCATCTCTTGTCTTTTTGCTCCTACCATATGAGGCACAAAGTTAAAACAGGTCTACTGGTCTTGCATGTACATTGGAAAAATACTTAGTGTTATTTATTTGCTAAACTGATGCAGCGAATTCATTATTGATCTGATGGGTGCTCCTGGGGCTCTTATTCCTGCTGAAGTACCCAGCAGTCAGCTCCAAAACTACAGTTTTCCTGTAAGGGGCTGTGCAGATATTGTGGAGGTACCAAAAACACACATTTGATGTTAGATGATGGAAGTAGAATGCTGGCAGTTTCATCTGATCTTGGAAGATGTTCAACAGTGGGCAACACTTGGCCAGAAGAATTAATAAATGTTGGCTGTAAAAAAGTACCAGTTGAAAGGATTTCTGTTGGAATAAATCAAACAGACAGGTTTGAACATGAATTTGGGAATCATCTTCAGTCTCTACATATATCAGGTGAAAGCTCTTCACACACAAAAGCATCATCCGCAGAAGAAAAACAAGTGAAAGATGTATCAAAAGGCCCATATTTTGCTAAAACATTATATACTGTTCAATCAGAAAGTTGTGAACTCCCTCCATCTGAGCCCTCTTCACATGCAAATACACAAAACACAGCTCAAGATAAGGTATTTGAAGATTTTCTTCAGGTTAGTGAAAAAATTGTCGAAAATTCTGTTCAAGCTGACAGAGTTAAGTTGTTATCAAGCTATGAAAAGTCTGCCGAATCCCCTCAAGGGGCATGCTCTTCTGGTGATAATACAAGGAAGGTGGCTGTTACTTTTTGTAACGGAATTGAAGAATTGGAGCACAAAGAGGCATTAAATATGGATAGTGCTCCATCCAAGCCTCATCAGAAGCATGAAGAGCAATTTCTTGAGTCGTCCTTGCCCAAAGCAGCTGTGTCTTGCAAGAGACAAAGTGGGGTTAGCTTTGTTTATGATGACAATGATGAAAATCTTCTTAATAACAAGGTTGGAGGGGCTTGCAATGACACTGAATCGGATAAGGATTCTACTGTTCAATTAAATGAAACAGCTAATGGAGATCAAACTAAATATGATGATGAAAGTGAGAAAGTTAATGCAGTTCTAGGGGAAGGCACGGAATGGGAGATTCAATGGGAGGATCTTCAAATTGGTGAGCGAATTGGTATTGGTAAGTTTCTCATTACTGAAATATGCTAGATTTGTGTTGTATCTTCCTCTGCCTAATAAATGGTCTTCCAATTTTTATTTCACCCCAAAACTGTGGATTTTATGTATTTAGATAAATAATTCCTGCCTATACCCTATATTGTTTCTAATGAGATAAGCAGCAAACTGTTAAGGACCTGTTAAAGTTTTACTTTCTGGTTTTAGTTTGATCAATGAACCTTAGAATTTAGGCATTGTTTTATGACGATCCCATACTGGCTAGCTGCAAAATTTGCGTTCTTTTCCCAAGTCTGTAAGTTTAATTCTTTCAACTCATACAAGTATCATGAATTTAGGTTCTTATGGTGAGGTCTATCATGCGGACTTGAAAGGCACTGTAAGTCCTCCCTCACCCTTCTCTTTTTTCATCTTCAGTAGATCAGTTTGTTCCTTACCAGTTACCCCCCCCTAAAGAACTTTCAATTGCATAATCTACACATTTTGGAATAATTCCTCAATGACTGCATAACATTCTGTTCATGCAAGATATATTATTGGCTAGACTTCATGATCAATTTTTTTTTTTGGGGTTTTCTTCTAATTTGTTGTCTCTCTTGTTTCATGCCATATCAAGAGATTATAATCATGTATGCTTAGACTTGCACAGTTGTCAATTGCTCTTACTCTGTGATTTCATTTGTGATGAAAAAATTTACTTCATAATTTCTATGAATGAATGCTTCTGCTGAATTTTGGTGCATGCTCTTGAGGACACTTAAATTTATGTTAAACTTCAGGTTTGTGACTTAGTTCTGCCTTGCTCATACTCATAAATGGGATTAGGTAGTTGTAAGAATTACGAAAGGTTGTGAATGAATAATTCTTTTCCTGCTAGTCGTTATTGAAATTGAGATCTTGCATTGGATTGTTAACTGGCTAGTCAAACTTGTAAAATGAGAAATACAAGTTGAATGTGGATGGTAAAATTCCTTTATCTTATGCTACAGGAAATTTTATTTGATATTTCATTTTATTTTTGGGTGGGGGTTGCAGAGGTTGTATAGAATTCAACTAAGGCTTGGTAAAGGTCTTTGAATGGGTAGCCCTAATATTTATTAGTGGTTGTATGTTCTCATAGACAGCAAAATTAAAGAACATGTTGTATATTTTTATCCTACATACACAAATGGACAGGTTTCAGCTATCTTTCTTTCTTCTGTGTATGCTCTCTATGTTTTCTTGCTTTCAGTGTTAGAATCAGTTTTTTCTATGTTCCTGTGAAGCACTGATGGTGCTGTACTTGTTACCACCGCGCACTGATCTTGCATGATTTTGTGAATGCTTTAACATTACAGGAAGTTGCTGTGAAGAAGTTTCTAGACCAAGATTTCTCTGGTGATGCATTGGTTCAGTTTAAATCTGAAGTGGGCAACTGACTTTATGTGTATTTTATCAATGTGTTCATATATACGCACACAAATTTATACCCGTAGATTGCATTTTTTTCTACAGGTTGAGATAATGTTGAGGCTGCGGCATCCTAATGTTGTGCTCTTCATGGGAGCAATTACTCGTACCCCACATTTCTCTATCTTGACAGAGTTTCTTCCTAGGTTAATTTTTGTTTTATGTTTGAAATGAATTATTATTGTGGGTAGACAAGTTGGATTGAATGATGTGAAGTGAGTCTTACTGATTTCTAGACAGCTGTGCTTTAATTATGTTGTTTATCAATTCTCTGTCAGCATCCAACTTAGTCTGCCATCAAATCAGCTGATTAATTGCTTTCTCTATATTTTGTTTTCTAAAGCACATTTATGACATGGTGTACAGAGGAAGTTTATATAGGCTATTACATCGACCCAATTTTCGACTTGAAGAGAAGAGGCGGTTACGTATGGCTTTTGATGTGGTATGAGTGTAAAAATTTAACTTATCCTCATTTGATTTATGTACATCTTTTTTTTTTTTTGTTAAAGTAAAAAAACTTTATCATATCTTTTAGGCCAAGGGAATGAATTACTTGCATACGAGCCATCCTCCCATTGTCCATCGAGATTTAAAGTCTCCGAATCTTCTTGTTGACAAACATTGGGCTGTTAAGGTATTCTTATTAAAACTTTTCCTTGCGAAATTTACTTCATTCCATTGTAAATGAATGGCAAAGAAAACTAAAGCTGTCGCAGTGAAAATCTAAAACAATGAGGGTGGACTGTTGGAAGCCATTTCCATTTCATCATTTACAAATTTGTTGGACCTAATAATGGAAATGTCAAACGTGTATGGAATGTGCAAGTCTCTGAGATATGATGGTAGAATTTTGTTCATTAACCCTTAATTTTATATAGAAGATTCATTTGTTTGCTATCCTGGACATGAACGTGGGACATGAGACATAAATGGTGACAAAGTAAACTGTAAAAACTTGTGCCTGACATGTCATATTTTATGTTATCATAATTCTGACAATAGTAGTTATGTTCTATTTAGAGGATATAACGGTTAGTTAGTTGGCTTATAGCTGTTGGGTATTACTCCTGTAAATATCCTATGATTCAATTGTAAACTGTCAGATTGATAAGAGCTTGTGCACCATTCAGTACTTCTCTCTCTGTTTCTCCTAATTCCTCTCAACCTCTCTCAGATCCTCCGCCTTCTCTGTTCTTCTCTTCAATCTTCCCTATTGTTTCGTATTTTCTCTATCATATAGAATTATAAACCTGTATCATGATAGGTATATTATGGTAAAGCATAAACGAGAAAATAAAAGCCAGGAAGCATTCAACCAACTTACTAAAAGTAAGGTTATAAAAGAGAAGGGTCAGTTGTGTTAGTCGAATAAACAATAATATAGTAAAACTAATGCATGAACAAGCATTCAACCAACATGCATTGGCAAATAAGTGAATATGTGATAAGAACTAGAATTAAGTCAATCTTGCCGTTCTATTATATATATATATATATATATTTATCCATTTGCATAACAAGATGCATCTCATGCTAACATGAAGCTATTATTTTTATGCGTGTTGGAATGGGTTAATATTTTCTTACAAATGCGTATGAAAATTTGCCAAGAGGTGTATGCCATGTTTAATTTCAGACGTGCGTGATTATTGCTTGCCATGGCATTTGGTTAATTAACCCAATGCATGTTTGACTTTGTCTCACGTTGTGAGATTCTGTTTCTGGTATCTGTCTGACGTGCAACAATACCTCTTCATAGTCTGTAAGGCATCTATAGTGAACACCTTGTTTCCCCTTCTGACTACTGCAACTGATGGACGTGGCATTATTTACAGTGAACAACACCCCTTATTATTTTGTTAAAAATAGATGAAATGTCATGGTATTTTGTTTTTCCGCTTATCTGCTATTATATTATATCTTGTTTCTGTCTCTTAACAGGTCTGTGATTTTGGCTTGTCAAGCATTAAGCACCATACCTTTTTGTCTTCAAAGTCTACTGCTGGAACGGTAAATTTTGATGGTTAAATGGTTTATTTTCTGTGAATACCCTTTTAGTTCATGCATCTCTGACCTGTTTTTGTTTTAATAGAAAATGGAACTAAATTCTTATTTGACTGCAGCCTGAGTGGATGGCTCCAGAAGTCTTAAGAAATGAGCCAGCCAATGAGAAGTAAGTTAAATGAGCAGCTGTGTGCGCTCCATGACAACCTTCGTCTACATGCAGGACTTAAGCAATTTAGTTTACTGGCTTGCAGGTGTGATATATATAGTTTTGGTGTGATTTTGTGGGAGTTGGCTACCACAAGGATCCCATGGAAGGGGTTGAACCCAATGCAGGTTGTGGGAGCTGTTGGGTTTCAAAATAGACGGCTTGAAATTCCAGAAGATGTTGATCCAGTAGTAGCACAAATTGTATGTGATTGTTGGCAAACGTAAGTACTAGTCTTCGGCACATGCTTTCTGATAGCATCGCATTGATTATAGGCTTATTTATTTGGCAGTGCAGAACATTTCATTTGAGCTTGAATTATAACTCCTCGTGAAACCCTGTGAGGGATGTCTTATCTCTTGGTTCAAACACTTAAAATTCTTTGCTTCTCGTGCTGCATTCGTAATATTAGGCGGTTCCGACATTCAGCTAGCATCCACTCTCCCTTTTTCTTTCATGACACTGAATGGGGACCATGTGGCTCATCTTACTAAAACCTGAAAGCTTGAGAGAATGTATATATTCTAGGCACTCCTTCGATGTTGGAAAATTTGAGGGTGGGCTTGCGCTAGTGTGACTATTAATGGGTTTCTGCATTCGTGTTCTTTTCCTAGTCAAGTCTGATAATAATTCACAGATGTGTTAATGCAGTTCAGGATTGTATATTGATTTACATGCATGTATTGATGTGTCGATAGTGGAATCTGCTTTTTTTATTAGATATTTCTTGCTTGTCATGCAGGGAGCCACACTTGCGACCATCATTTTCACAGATCATGTCTCGTCTCCGCCACCTTCGGCGTCTAGTTTGTTAGAACAACCAATCCAACTGACAAATTAAATGAAGTTGTCCATAGTAGAGAGCAATTGAGATGTAGTTGTTGCTTGGTTCGAAGAGCCAGGGCAGCTGAGGTCTTTTACTTTTGTGCTTTCAAATGAAGACTAGAAAAGCGGAGCAAGAGCCAACATCGAGAGCGGCTAAAGAATTTACCTATTGACAGATACGGGGAGATTACTGAATTGGGAAGTGCAAGGCTCATTCAAAGCGATGGGCGCAAGCAACCATGAGAATAGAGTAAAAACCCTTTCGAGTACCTGCATGAGTCCGGTGGAGGTTTGGTTTTATACAGCTCAACATCCACGAACTGTAATTTTTTTTTTTTTTAGAAGGCTTATGTTTTTCTTGGAGAACTTGATGGCAATTGTATCTATGTAAAGTCTAGTCAGTTTTATTTAGCATGAGTTAGAGTAGCGACAACTAGTTGTCCTGAAAAAAAAGAGAGAAGGGACAACTGAATATTTTTCGCCAGAAAGGGAGGGGTGAAGAAGAAAGAAATAGGGAAAAGGAAAAAAATAAATCACAAAATTGTTCATTACAATTTGTATATAGAGGACCAATCTGGAAATTGGAATTGTGATCATGTGATCTCTGCGGTTCAGGTGGAAATGTAAACAGAAATTTCAAAATGAAGGAAAGGCATTTGTATATTCTGCATATTTGCTCAGTTGGAGTTGCTTGGGAAAATGTTCCTTTTAAACTTGTATTTGCGGGAAATGCTTGTTTATTATGTTTCTTAAGGGGCTAGACCTGGCTTGAACCACCGGACTCTTCTGATACAGTTTTACTTGCTTCTAATTAGTCATTCTTCTGTTACTCCGACGCTGGTCATTTGAAGTTACCTTTGAAATCAATTACTGCCATACAAATAATTTTTTTTTTTTTGGGCAATAAAAATCAATTACTGTTGCTTGCCATACAAATAATTTAGCAGCTGCAACGGGCCACTTTTCTGCGTTTCATTTTCATTAATTATTTGGAGATTTTTTCGGGAGCATCCAAGTGTTTAAGGAAAATATACAAGCTGAAAAGTGAAAAGTGACGAGCAAAATAAAATATAGTTATATATATATATATATATAAAAAATATATATGACTTGTGATTCCATTTAATGATTAGGAATGCTATTTTAAAGTTTGACAGTTAAAAATACTTTGGAGAGATAACAAACATCACGAAACTTAAGTCGTGGTCAATCAAATTGGGGATTTCATTAGCCATTGTCAGAGTAGACAGGACAGACCACTAGACAGGACAGACCACTGGGGAAAAAATCTGGATGAGGAACAAAAGGAGCAAGTGCGGAGTTCTTGGCATGGCAGACTGCAGTGTGATTTTGTGGAGTTGGCTACCACAAAGGATCCCATGGAAGGGGTTGAACCCAATGCAGGTTGTGGAGCTGTTGGGTTTCAAAATAGACGGCTTGAAATTCCAGAAGATGTTGATCCAGTAGTAGCACAAATTGTATGTGATTGTTGGCAAACGTAAGTACTAGTCTTCGGCACATGCTTTCTGATAGCATCGCATTGATTATAGGCTTATTTATTTGGCAGTGCAGAACATTTCATTTGAGCTTGAATTATAACTCCTCGTGAAACCCTGTGAGGGATGTCTTATCTCTTGGTTCAAACACTTAAAATTCTTTGCTTCTCGTGCTGCATTCGTAATATTAGGCGGTTCCGACATTCAGCTAGCATCCACTCTCCCTTTTTCTTTCATGACACTGAATGGGGACCATGTGGCTCATCTTACTAAAACCTGAAAGCTTGAGAGAATGTATATATTCTAGGCACTCCTTCGATGTTGGAAAATTTGAGGGCGGGCTTGCCACTAGTGTGACTATTAATGGGTTTCTGCATTCGTGTTCTTTTCCTAGTCAAGTCTGATAATAATTCACAGATGTGTTAATGCAGTTCAGGATTGTATATTGATTTACATGCATGTATTGATGTGTCGATAGTGGAATCTGCTTTTTTTATTAGATATTTCTTGCTTGTCATGCAGGGAGCCACACTTGCGACCATCATTTTCACAGATCATGTCTCGTCTCCGCCACCTTCGGCGTCTAGTTGTTAGAACAACCAATCCAACTGACAAATTAAATGAAGTTGTCCTAGTAGAGAGCAATTGAGATGATAGTTGTTGCTTGGTTCGAAGAGCCAGGGCAGCTGAAGTCTTTTACTTTTGTGCTTTCAAATGAAGACAAGAAAAGCGGAGCAAGAGCCAACATCGAGAGCGGCTAAAAATTTACCTATTGACAGATACGGGGAGATTACTGAATTGGGAAGTGCAAGGCTCATTCAAAGCGATGGGCGCAAGCAACCATGAGAATAGAGTAAAAACCCTTTCGAGTACCTGCATGAGTCCGGTGGAGGTTTGGTTTTATACAGCTCAACATCCACGAACTGTAATTTTTTTTAAAAAAAAAAAGGCTTATGTTTTTCTTGGAGAACTTGATGGCAATTGTATCTATGTAAAGTCTAGTCAGTTTTATTTAGCATGAGTTAGAGTAGCGACAACTAGTTGTCCTGAAAAGAGAGAAGGGACAACTGAATATTTTTCGCCAGAATTTGCCCTCTTTTTACTCCACTATTTCTTCCAGTTATGCCCTTATTGAATTTGCTGCTAGTGAAAAGTATGAATTCTCCAGGCTGTAAGTTCTGGTTTCTATATCCAGTTTAATATGATTTATGCGTTCAAGCAAGTTTTTCTCAACAGATATGGGTGAAGACTGCTGAAGTTTTGGGCACGTGACCGTCCTCCTAGGGTCATACACCGTGAGTAGTTTTTTACATGTAATTCAGGCTCTTGCGCATGTTCCATTCTTTTTATTGCTCTAGACTCTGTTAACCACGAAATAAGTAACGTTGACTGTTCTTATTGCATTTTTTGTTTGCTTACTTGATCTGTAATGGATTTATACCGATTGACAATATGTTGGTAGTAGTTTACAAGTGGAATCACTATAGTAACCATAACATTCATGATACGCAATAATGCGTTTATCAGGACTTAGGTATTGTTTTGGACTTCAAGCTGCAGGAGATTGTGAATCCCATATAACTGCAAGATTTGTAGCCTCATGGTAACTGCTGTAATTGTGTTTAGAGTAACAACTGCTAACAGTCCTAGTTTAAGCTGTCTTTTTCTTCTTTGTAAAGCAACAAACAAAATAGAAAACAAAACCAAATATAACATCAACAAAGCAGTGCAGAAACGATGGATCTGCAACTGCAGTGCTGATCTGGAGCTTAGTCCCTAGTACTCTCTTGATGTATTATGTTTCCCCTGAAATCCTAGAACAGGGTTTAACTTGAAGTGATGATATTTGCTGTTATTATTATTACTGTTATTTGTTTCAGATCTTTTGGGGAGATGGGAAGCAACCATCTTTAATTGCATTAATCTCGGTAAAACGATGATCTTTTGCTGCATGATGCATGACTGACTGTATATCGTCATATTCTGTTTGTGTGGGGAAGGTCAAGCCTGTCCTTGGCAGATTGAAACTTACATTGGTCAGTCCTGGCAACATTATTATTTTTTATTTGTTCTTATCCTCATCAATATGACGGAACCAAAACAACTCGTATCTTCGGTCAAAGAAGCTGGAGTTCGAGTGATACCTGGAGTTTACAATGATGATTTCTGCAAAATCATTTGAACCAGATGCCTTCGGTGGTGAACCTGATCTTCAATGATGATCTCTCGTGACAACTAAAGCTCAGTAATTTGTAAATCCTTGACCCTCCACGTAATAGTATTAATTTAAGGGGAGAGCTACAACGTATATAACTGTAGCATATTCTGGATTCCTGTACTATTTTTATTGTGTTGTTCTTCCTTATCGCCCATGTCTTGTGGCCGTGTAATTGTGCTTATGATAGTGATGTTTACTGAGTATCTCAATTCATATATAGTTGAATAAATATGATAGGAATAAGTAATTCATGCGTACCTGAAGAATCCATGAGTGCTAGAGAGATCTCGATTACCTCGAGTATAGGCAGGTACACAACCCACAGGTCCCCAGAGCCTTCAGAAAGTTCAGAGATAATAGAGGTAGAAGAATGATCGTCGTATTTGTGGTTACCGACTAATCGTCTTATATAGATCAGATCGGTAACCGCCATATTAAATAATTAAATAATTATATTATCTATTATCTCTGACTCAGTCAGTTAAAAGATAGGAAATAACTGACGGCTATTGGGTTGTGGGTTGGGCCTCTGCCCATTGGGCTCACTTGTGTGGTCCACCTATCACGGTCCATACAAGATCATAAGGACCAATTTATTGGGCTTATTAATTAATGCCAATTCATAAATAATATTCCAACAATCTCCCACTTGGATTGCATTAATTAAGCAAGTTGTATAAATAAGCCACAAACAAAATTCAGAAAATGAAACTCCATAAAATCACTGAATCCTATGGGGAAACAAGTGATTATGATATCTCATAATCTGAGTAAAATATGAAATTTTATTTCAAAATAGCTCAGTAAGATAACAACATAAATCACTGATTCCTATGGGGAAACAAGTGACATGCATAGCGTACCACAACAGAATCATTGAATCCTATAGGATACAAATGATATAGACGTATCTAATTGAACTGAATATAACTCACAGAAGAAACCAAGCCTAAAGAAAAATTGCAACAAAGAAGGTTCTCAAACTCCCACTAAACTAGGGCATCAAAGAATTCATAATACCCATACAAGTTACATGATTTGAAAAACTTCTACAGGTAAGCCCTTAGTCAGCGGATTTGCAAGCATCTGCGTGCCAGGAATGTGTACCACACGGGTTTGAGACTCAGCAATTTTCTCTTTCACAAACATAAGTTTGATATCAAAATGTTTTGTACGACAGGAATTTCTGTGATTGTTAGCATAGTATACTGCAGATTTGTTATCACAATAAATGGTTAGAGGACGTGATATTGACTCAACTAGGTGCATGCCAGATATCAATTTCCTCAGCCATATAGCGTGACGTGTAGTCTCAAAGCAAGCAATATACTCAGCTTCCATAAATGAAACTGCTGTAAGTGTTTGTTTCACACTCTTCCAAGAGACAGCTCCTCTAGACAACATGAAAATATAGCCAGTCGTGGATTTACGATCATCTAGACAAGAGGCAAAATCTGAATCTGAAAAGCCAACAATCTCAAGATCTTCTGATCCCTTGAAGTCATAATCAGAATACCCAACAACCTCAAGAGAATTTGACCTTCTGTAAGTCAACATATAATTCTTTGTACCTTGAAGATACCTCATAACTTTCTTAGCAGCCTTCCAATGATCCGGACCTGGATCATTTAAGTATCGACCCAGCACTCCAATGGTAAAGGCTATATCTGGTCGAGTACACACTTGAACATACATAAGGCTGCCGACAGCGGAAGCATATGGCTCTTTCTCATTTCAGCCCTCTTCTTATCATCCTTGGGACACTGTGACTTTGACAACAGCTCACCTTTCTGTACAGGAGCAGGTGAAGGAGAACATGAATCCATTTTGAATCTCTTAAGTACCCACTCAATATAAGTGGCCTGTGATAAACCAAGAATACCACGAGATCTATCACGATGAATTTGTATCCCAAGAACAAAGGAGGCTTCACCCATATCCTTCATATCAAAATGGCAAGACAATAGGTGCTTTATCTCATTGAGGAAATTTATTGAATTACTGGCTAATAAGATATCATCAACATAGAGAACAAGAATGGCAAAATTGTTCCCATCAAACTTCTAATAGATGCACTGATCTGAGACATTCTCAACAAAACCGAGAGAGGTGATAACTTCATCAAATTTCAGATACCACTGCCTAGAGGCTTGTTTTAGCCCATATATGGATCTCTTTAATCTGCACACTAGATGTTCTTTACCGGATTCAACAAAACCATCAGGTTGTGTCATGTAGACTTCTTCATACAAATCGCCATTCAAGAACGCAGTCTTGACATCCATCTGGTGAAGATTAAGTTCAAGCTGTGCAACTAAAGCCATTACCACTCTAAAAGCATCTTTGGTGGATACCGGAGAGAAGGTTTCTATGTAATCAATACCTTCTTTTTGGTTGTAGCCTTTAGCTACAAGTCTGGCTTTATATCTATCAATTTCACCCCTAGCTCCTCGTTTTGTTTTAAAGACCCACTTGCAACCCACTGGTTTAAACCCCTTTGGTAGCTCTACAAGCTCCCATACGTGATTGCGGTACATAGAGGCAATTTCTTCACTCATAGCCTCCAACCATTCAGAAGAATGCGAGCTAGAAATAGCCTCCTGGTAACACATTGGGTCTAAGTTATCAATAGCATCTGAATCAAATTCCTGCAAATATACCATGTAATCATCTAGAATAGCAGACCTGCGAACCCTTTGGGATCGTCTCGGTTCAAAACCATGTCCCTATCACCCTCTAAAGGTGGTTCATCTTGAGTTTCATTCTGATCCACGGCATTATTTCTGTCAACATGAGGAGTTGTCAAGATAGGCATAGGCAAAATGCTACTTTCGTCATGCAAGGTAATATGCCTAGGCACAGAGCTCCCACTGTCTAAGGCATCTTCAAAGAAGTAAGCTCGGTCAGATTCAATTACCCTAGTAGTGTGATTTGGACAATAGAATCTGTACCCACGAGATCCGATACAATAGTCAATAAAGAAACCATCAACAGTTTTAACATCAAGCTTCATTTGTTGTGGATTGTAAGGTTTTACCTGTGCTTTACAACCCCAAACTCGCATATGTTTCAACGCAGGAGTCCTTTTAAAATACAACTTATATGGAGTCTTTGGAACTGACTTGCTAGGAACTTGATTCAAAATATAAACAACAGTTTTGAGTGCATCACCCCACAAGAATTCCGGCAATGAGGAGTGACTGATCATGCTCCTAACCATATCCATGAGAGTACGATTTCGCCTTTCTGTAACCCCATTTTACTGCGGGGTGCCAGGCATAGTATACTGAGCTTCAATGCCATGCTCTTGAAGGTACAAAGCAAATGGCCCAGGGTTCCTGCCAGTCTCAGTATATCTCCCATAAAATTCTCCTCCTCTATCAGATCTCACACACTTGATCAACTTGCCAGATTTTAATTCGACTGCTGCTTTAAAGGTCTTGAATGCATTAAGGAACTCGCCCTTTTCACGCAAGAGTTCAATCCATCCATGACAAGAGTAATCATCTGTGAAGGTGATGAAATATCTGAAACCACCCATAGCCGGAGGCGTGATAGGTCCACAATATCAGTATGGATTAGGTCTAAATGAAAACCTGTTTGTTTATACTCTTTTCGTTAAAAAATGTAAAATATTTTTAATCGAATTTCACCCTCAATAAATTAGTTACCTACTTTTAAATTAACTCTATCTTTTTATATTTATCCTTATTAAGCATCCTATAATAAATATAAAGTCACCATCAATTGAGATACTTTAAAAAAAAAGACAATTATTATATCTTAAAAGACTAAAAATGCTTTACATTCAACTCTTCACAATATATCTTACAATTTTTAATAGAAAAAGTATCAATTAAAAAATTTTTAAAATTAAAAAATTAAACCGATAATGATAGTTATAAGTAGTTAATAATAATGATTAATAATAAAAATAATTAAAATGATTATAATTTTTAATAATCAAATACAGTGCATTTTAAAAATAAAAAAATAAAACGAAAACAATTTGAAATTATTTCTATTCTATTATTTTTTAAAAAATAATTTTAAAAACAATTAATGAAAAATACTTATTCAAATAAGTTTTAAAATTTTCTTGTTAAAAAAAAAAAAAACAAACAGGGCCTTAGAAACACGTCAAACTTTATGTCGTTCTGGCCCTCAGAAAACAATGTAAAAGTAAAAGCGGAGGAAGCAACGAAGCAACCGTTGAGTACATGCACCTTCCCGCCCCAGCTCCAGACGCGTAATTCAGAGCCGGCCACCTCATTCACGTGATACCCATGATGTTTTGCCGAAAATGCCCCCAAATTATTGCCCTGTTTACTCTGACCTCACATTCCTCATTAAGACCATTTCCCTCACAACCGTCAATGAATTAATATTATAGTGGTAACTAATAATATTTCGAATTAAATTATACAAGTGTGGTAGGGGCCCACCCTGACCCTGCCACAGAAATATCAACCAGGTTCATGCACCTTTCCCACTTCCCTTCTCTTTCAGAAAACGGATAATTCCCTCACGGAATATATAAATTATTGAACTTAATTAAATTATATGTTCTCGCAAAACAATAGATTGTCACTCCGAGCCTCTTCCTCTTCTTCTTCTCAATAAATCGTACACGTCTTCGTTCTTCTCTCCGACGGCATCGCTTTTGCTCCTAGTTCATCTCCAACAGTCTCAACATATAAGGCTTCTCCAGAGTGGGAGTGCTTCCATATTTCTGAGGCATTTTGCTTACTTCATATTTTCTTCCATTGCTTTCTTCTTCTTCTTCAGGTAAGGAATGATGACGATCGGGCCAATTAATGCTTTCCTTTATTTGAACTCCTCCTTACTCAAATTTAAGTATTCTATGCGGGATGTTTTCTAATTTACAATGTGTTAACTTCAGACATTTGAGTTTTTGTCTGCTTTCCCTGATCGCTGCTATCGGAATATTTGGTTTTACCATAAGTTGCTTCCGGCCAGCATTTTTTTGGAGACTTGAGTTAATTTCTTCTATACTTGGAAGGCGTATCCTTTAAAAAAAAAGGGGGTCTTCCTAAGAGCCTCGATGATGCTATTGAAGGTCTCTCTCTCTCTCTCGACATTGACTTTGATGTTACAGGCACTGGCTGGCTACAAAAATATGAACTCATGTCTAATAAAATTTAATATTCCAAGGTTATAAATGGAGTTTTCCCCACTCTTGTTTTTAACGCCTAGCGTTCTTCTCATCTATCGCACTGGTTGAAGTCGGAATGCAAGTGTCTTTAAAGAAAGTGAGTCAATTGAGGGAAGCACATATGCCTGCTTTGAATTCAATTAGGGCCGGTAAAGTTTCGGATGGATGGCCAATTTGAACATTTTGGCTTAATTGGACAAATTGGTAATGATCACTAATTTCGCCTATCCTGTGGAGGATCAATTATAGATTCAGCCAAGGCCTTTTTTTTTTTTTTCACCTGGTGTTTTGTCTTATGGATGCTCATTTTCTGCTTGATTAAATTACTGAATTGATAGACCAGAAGTGGGAAGGAAAAACAGTGCGCAAATTAGGCAAAGAATGCCTGCCTGCGTCATTGGGTGAAAATAATGTTGATATCAAAAATTGCTGTAATAATATTAAACTGGGTTATAAGAAAACATGCTGACATGAGATGTATAGCCATTTTAGAATTTTCCTTCTTAGAAAAGTTCCTTGACAGGGAATCTTGTAATGAAATTATTGCGATATGTACGGATGAAATATTTCGTCTTTTGATATGATCCGAAAACTTTATTTTGTTTATCCATTATTTACATTTTGATGATCAATCAAATGCGCATGAAGATCATACACGGATTTGAGGAATCTAGTTTCGAGTTAGTCATGAGTACTCTTGAAATTTATCTTGTGATAGACCATATTCTCTTTTGTGCTTCTTCTTCGAATGCTAATTTTTTTATTGCGGTACTGATAAATTTTTAAATTCCATAGACGGTATTTTATCTTCCTTGTATGCTTAGTTGTGCATAAATTTCTTTATTGCTGAATAAATATCATATTGTGAAAAATAACTCCCTTAATTTTTATCCTGTATTGGGAATAGAATTGGGATGCCTGGAGCTTGTAGTTCGATTAAGTGATGCGTCCGTTCAGAAATTTGAGAAAGGCTGTATGCTGTGCTGTCTACTTTTATAATGGAGTTAAATGCAAGTTATGACACTGAATATTCAAGTTCTATGCAAAGAATCCACCATGAGCCATGGCCACTAGAGCCCATCGATCCAAATAAGTCAAAGTTTCCATGTTGTATAGTCTGGACTCCACTTCCTGTTGTCTCTTGGTTGGCACCCTTCATTGGTCATATTGGAATTTGCAGGGAGGATGGAGTTGTTTTAGATTTTTCAGGATCTAATTTTGTGAATGTTGACGATTTTGCATTTGGTGCAGTAGCAAGATACCTGCAACTTGATCGTAATCAGGTAATATTTCTCAAGATTTTATACATTGATATTTTAAGAAAAATGACCAACAGAACTAATTTTGGCAATAATAATAACAATGTTCTGGCTGGAAATGGTTGTTTTTGGAGCTAGAGGTCCCTTAGAAAGTGAGAACCTACAGAACATGTCCCATAAAAGTACGAGTGTAGAGGATTTTGCTGTGGGATTTAAAGCTTAAAATGATGGATTCTACACCCTATTTACACCTCCCCTTATGTCGTGATTCCACCTTGTTTTTGGAAGAAAATTTATTCAGTTGGGGTTACAAAACTGGGGGAAATTATTCCACCGAGTCCAATTTCACAAACCTACCCCTCCCTCTTCCCAGTAAAATGTCATGGAACTGTTTGGAAGTTTCAACTCTTATTTGACAAACCTTGTTCTGGAATCTGAGATGTTGCAGTGTTGCTTCCCACCAAACCTGTCTGCACATACATGTGAGAATGCGTACAGACATTCAGAGAATGGGACTGCAGTAACATGGGATGATGCGTTGCGATCAAGCGTGCGGTATTTTGAGAATAAAACGTACAACCTTTTCACATGTAGCTGCCACTCATTTGTTGCCAACTGTCTCAATCGGCTGTGTTACGGTGGATCCCTGAATTGGAACATGGTTAATGTAGCAGCTCTGATTTTATTCAAGGGACACTGGGTCGACCTCTGGTCAATTGTGAGGGCTTTCCTGCCATTTGTTCTGGTTGTTTCCATGGGCGTTCTCGTTGTTGGGTGGCCATTCTTGCTTGGGTTACTCTCATTCTCTTTCCTTTTATTGGGGTGGTTTCTTTTGGGTTCTTACCTTGTAAAAAATCTATTGGAGTGCTAGAAGCTCTGTTGAATTGAAGGGCTGGCCTCCAAGTGGAATCGTCAGAGAGAAGATCTCTGGTTTTTCTTTCAGGATGGTTGCTGAAACCATGTTAGATGTAGATTGTAATAGAAGGAGAACTGGAGAGAACGCATATTTCTAGTGAAATATCTTGAATTTTAATTTCCTTCCAATAAAAATGAATTAAAGTTTCAAGAGTAGATTCTCATTCCGTCCATGTATCTGTTTTAAAGACGATATGACCAACAATAAAAAAATAAAAAATAAAAAAAAAACACGATATGATCACCAATGTGCACCTTTCTTTACGTTGCATCTTGGTAAATTCTCTAGCGTGACTTCAGAAAAATGGTTTTTTTTTCCCTCCAATTTCTTAATTTATTTTTTTATTTAAATAAGCAATGAGGAGGGAAAGAAATGAGGTGTAAAATGTAAATAATATTTTAAAACATTTTTAGTTGTCTATCATTCATGAAAGAATTAGTTGGTGGCCATGCATTGTACGCCGCAGCAAAACTAGTTTGTTCGATTTCTCACCCCGTGTTTCTTCCGGCCTTAGCATGGTTACATTTAGCCTTTCAGAAGATTGCATGTCAAAATTTCAACATCGCATCAGATTTTTACTGTCTTTTGAGGGAAGATGTATCATTCAGAAACTAACTTTATTACATGATTGATAAAAGTAAAATATGATTAAATAAGTCAGACGTTTGGGGCATATTCAATAGGAAGCAATGCACACGGATCTCAGTAACATGAGTAAAAACTGAAATGAAAACCATGCTCATGCTCACGCTCCATACTTGGGAGCTTTCCAAAGCTTAAAGGCTACCTCATGCAAGAACCTATCTGCCGGAATTGTGAGATTGCCACCATGCTGCATGTAGAAAATTTAACCAAAAAAATGTCAATAAAGAAATCAGTTTAACAACTAATGATGCAAACATGAAGAGTCAAGATATAATGCATGGACCAGGAGTAAATCATGCACCAAAGGCAAATCAAAGACAGCATTACTAATTAGAAATAAGCTCTTTGAACTTAATAAAAGAATAGAGAAACCCAAAGGTATACCTCTTTGAAGTCTTCAAATGAAAATTTCTCTGCATTATCTTTGCGAGTCACACCATGCCGTAATTGAGCAATCAACATAGGAGAATGATGCCTGCATCATAAAAATAATGTGAATGCGCAAATTTGTCCCAAGCAAAAGAAAGGACTCCCATGGGCTTAATCTTAATTACTTTATTTGTTTACCTTACATCCGCCCGAGGAGTTTCTCCTTTCATGGTGTAACTTTGTGAAGGAAAAAGCTTTGAAAGATATGAGTTCTCATCAAAACTTTTTGAAACTGAAAACTTGGTATCATCATCATTCAACACATTCCCAAAGCTCAGAACAACAGACAAGTGAAGACGGGAGCTGATGTCAGATCCAGGTTGGGCTTGGCATATAATCCCTGAAACTAAGGCATTGGCATACTCCACGTCAGCTGCAATCACTTCTGATTCATTACTGTTCACCTTCTCACCAGCTCCAATGTGAAAGAAAACGACATCAAACTGATTGTCTACCACCTCTCCTTCTTGAAAGCCAAGCAACTTGAGTAGCTCAAGGGCCTCTACATTAACTTGTAAATCAGCATCATGAGCTCTCAGTAACTCATCTAATTGCAGTGTATGGAAGCCAAGTTTGGCACTAAAAGATTTCAAACTTGAATTGTTACTCAGTATGGCAGCTTTCATTCCCATGAACCTGATGTCAAAGGAAATGCTTTGGTTGAGATAATTTGCTACGCATCATCATGATGATAACCCAAGGAAACAGATAAAAATAAGTACCTATTAGGTAAGGACTGCTTCATCAAATTCCTTTGACTATCTTTATCAGTGTTATGCTCACTCTAGAAATGAATTTAAATTGATCAGAAAAATTTCATCATGAAGCTAGCTTCTCTAGAGAAATACAGTCAAGCAAAAATGGACCTCACCATATTTAAATACGTCTCATATGCATCCAGAAGTACAGCAAACTCCCTAACAATCCTCTCATCCTCGCTATCTGAAAACTAAACTCAGGTGAATCTCAATGTTATGAGGCAACAAATGGAAAAGGTAAGATGAACACAAGGGTAGAAATACTGTGACATGAATCAATCTACCCTGAAACTTGGATTGCTCACCAGTATTATGCACCATTGACACGGACACCCTATGCAATAGTGGTCTTTCCAAATCATGATTTCTTTTCTTCCAAACACACAGACTATGGTGACAAATCCTCATTACATTTTACACAAGCAAGCATAAGTTATTGAAAAGGAAGCCCACACCAACAACCACCCAAGATAGTTGCAGGAATACACCATTCACTTGCTACATAGGCTACTGCATACACCATCGCCATTCTTAAGAACCAATTGATCCCAAAAGTTTAGAATGTGACGAAAAAGCTCATAATTTTATTTATATCTTTGACAATCATATAGTAACGCTTGAGATAGACATATGGAATCTGCTATATTCTACAACCATCTTGGAGTTTACACTGCCCATGTTGTCATACAACTCCTAAAATCTCTTTTAGCCCAGATGTGGTAACTATTGACAATGAACCTCGGAAGGACCGTTGGTTGGACTGGAGATCGAGTTCAATGCTATATAAACCCAAGATCGAACCATACTCATAAGGAAAAAAAAATTATATCATCATTTGCTGGCATCTCGACACTATTACACTAAGATTTCAGAAGGGTGAACGAGCAAAGTAAGCATGGTTAATGTCTTGGATGCCTAAGCGGGAAGGTGAGATATAATTTAAAATCAAAACATTTTCACATATGTTTGGATATGATATGATTTGAAGTCGCGACATAAACAAAACTGAGCAGAATGCCCAAAAGATTGTAAAATACATGACACAGCTTTTCGCACAACGGGATTTTAAGGAGGAAGATCAAGTGCTTTCATGTACTTCTTTATCGTATTTAAAAAGTATTCAGTTAACTCTCCAGGTGTGATGAAAACTCGAATTGCGAAAAGAAGAGATGATTCACCTGAGAGAGGACAGTCGGGAAGGCTCAAAAAACCACAGAAACCTGCGGACGCGAGAGAATGAAGATGAATGTGGGACGGATCAATAAAACGAGCCAACCCGTCTCCGAATAAGACTAGGGCTCGGCTCGGCTTGTCTGCCATTCAATTAACTCTTCGTATTCTGCTTCCAGGTTTCAGAGGCAGCGGAGAGAAGACAGAAGGAGACGAAGGTAAGGGAGCTACGCCACAGGCAAAAAAAAAAAAAAAAACTGAACTGGATTCCGGGTTGCGTAATCTCTGATGCGAGGCACGTAGCAAATTTTATTTTATTTGATATTTTTTTATATTTTACAGAATTCAAAGTTAAATTAAATATTAAAAATGAGTAATATTCAAGGTATTTAGTTGGAATGATAATTAAACAGTTGAGATAGTAAAGACTGTTTAAAACTATTTTTATTTTATTATTTTAAAATTAGTGTTTTGTAAAATATTTTTTAAAAATAAAAATAATAAATTATTATTCAAAACAATAATCACAAAACACTTAAAAGTTATTTTTATTTTTTTATTTTTTAAAATAATATTTTATTTTTTTTGTTCTTTAAAAAACTTTTTAAAAATATGTTATTAAATAAATTTTTTTATTCTCTTATTTTAAAATCAAAAAGTTATTTTTTTCAAACAGGCCCTAATCCACGAAACTGTGAAATTTTCTCTGGGCAGTCACGAAAATGTGATTCACAATCATTCATTACTAATTTAATAAATTTCTAATTCTAATTACATACTAACTATCTTAAATAAAAATAAAATATAATTATAGAAATATAAAAAATTAAATAAGTAAACCAGAATAATTGAACAAATAAATTAAGTGAAAAAATATAATTTAAAATTTTAATAAATATTTAAAATTTGAAACAAAAATAACAATTTGTGTGACAAAAAACATAATATAAATTAAAGTAATATTTGAATGGATATAAATTCTAAATTTAAAATCATGCTTTTAAACTTTTATATTTAAAATTTATTATTTATATAATTAAAAAAATTAAATTTAAAGACAATAAAAAGGAAGAGATGGGAATTGAAAATAAGAAGGTAAATTTGATTTGCATTTAACTAAATTGAATATACTATAAAAAAATTTAAGATTGTCAACAAATGATAATAAAATATGAATTTAAATATAAATAAATGTATAAATTTTTATATATTTATAATATATTTGATTCAAATCTAAATCCAACCTAATTCTTTGCATCCAAATCCACCATGAAAAAGTTTGCTATGGATTTCATCAACTTTTAATTTTTTTGTTTTTTTAAGGACGAGCATACAGTTTACTCATTTCTCAAACTTAACCCAGTATCATTTCTTTGTTTTCAAATTAGATCCTTGATTAATATTTTTTTATTTTTATCCTGACTTGATTAGTGTGTTGGAGACATTACGGATTTGATCGTCTTCTTTTTAGAAACTTGTAGAATATGAATTTGGCAGGATTACAATGAAGTCCTCCCAAGGAATTCAATTATCCCCAGATCCTATAAGATGAGATCAAATTAGAAAAGTAGAGGAAAGACGGGGGACCCTTTTTTTTTTAATAATATTTTATTATAAAAAATATTTAAAAAGCCCTGTTAACAAGTTGTGGGGCCCACTAATGAATTTTCAGCATCAGGAGTAAGGGGATTCGAATTTTAAATGTTTAGAAAAAAAATCACACAATTGAATGTAGGGTATGGTGACGGTGAAGCTGAGAACAAAAATAATACTTAATTAATTAATTTTTTTTTTTTTAAGTGAACATTTTCGGAGCCACCGCGGCTCTCTTATTCAGTACCGTCATCCGCTGCCACGGTTGAAAACTTTCCCATTCTCGGCGAGTATCTTCGCGGCAATCCTGGAATTTTATCTAAACTATCGATGTCGTATTCTTCAATGAACGACGCTGAAACATTTCGCAACCGTATTCTTTCCAGTAAGCTCTACTTCGACGTTCCCCTGTCGAAGGTAAACTACTTGTGCTTGAATCTCTGTTTGCGCTTTGAATTATGTGGCTTTTTGGACTCATAATTTTGATAAATCAGGTTCCACTTATCTACTCGAATTCGTACGATATAGCGTTTCTCGGCCTAGAGAAATTGTAAGAAATCATGCACTTGACTACTTAATTCAGACTTCTTCTGTCATGTCCAATTGTTGAAGTTCTTGGGTGATGATAATTCTCTCTGTCTTTGAGTAAGCTCAAATCGTCTCTTTTCACTTTTTGTTCATGGTTGGGAGCGAGATAAGACGTATACCAAAAGCTTATGCTGGTCAAGGTATCAGCATAAGTGCATAACATCTCGACGTCATTAATTTTTTTGGGGGAGTATCATATTTTAGTAGCTCGTTATGGATCACAATTCCCTAAGGCAAAGTTTTCGGAGTCACAGCGAGATGCTTCTATGCTTGAGAAAATTTTGAGTTGTTGGGCCAATCAACTCATCTTTCATATAACAAGTTAAAATCTTCAGTTTGGTATATTTCAAGTTAATCCTTGAAACTGGCAGAGGAATATACGGAAATTTAGGGTGACTTTGGCTCAATCCTCACTTGGTGACTTTGATGCCCTTGAACTACTCATTTGTTGATGCAGGCACCCGTTTGATTCGTGTAAATGGGGACACATTTGTCAATTCCTCATCTCTTTTGGTACTTTGGATAAAAGATGCATTGTCGAGCCTCTGGAAGCTTCCCAGGATGATCTTCTAGTGGTAATCACTAGTAAATGATTATGTTTCAAAATAACCGCTGCATATAAATTTTTTGGTATTAAGTTGCATTGCATGCATGTGTTTTCAATATGATGGTCGATGGACGAGAACTCTTGGGACCATCTCCCCCACCCCACAAAAAAAAATAATAATAAATAAATAAAATAAAATAAAAGAGGAAAAACTTTTCATGTTTCTTTGGAGCTCAATATTTTGAATTTTGTTCATCGAGAATATTGGACTGATCTTTTTATCTACTGATGGCATAATTTATAAAGATAACTGACAATCTTTCTTAAAGCAAAGTGATTTAAGCAAATTATATAGTGCTGCTGAATCCATTTTTCTTTCCACCCTTTCCTTCACAGGTACATTCAGAATCATACTTGAATAGCCTGAGGAAAAGTTCAAATGTTGCTAGGATAGTTGAGGTATGTTCCTTTGGGTTGTGGGCGAGAGGCCTGAAACATTTGCTTTATGTTCCTATATTATTACCAATGCTCCCTTTTCCGTAATTGCGGGGCTCCTTTTGTAACTTATTGTCAAGGTTGTGTCTAAATTAATAGAGTATGGAATTCAATCTTGACATGGTAGGGTAAAAGAAACTGATATGATGAGATGGAAAGCCTGTTTTTCTTGTTCCCTGTAACAGCATACTTTCAAATGACTCTTACCTAGCGGTTTCTGTACAGGTCCCCCCTGTGGCTTTACTCCCTAATTGTCTTGTGCAACAGAAAGTTCTTTTCCCTTTTCGAAAGCAGGTGAAGTAACTGTTTTTGAAGTTTGTTTGGCTAATCTAAAACTAGGATCTCACTACTAGTCAAATGATAGGTTGGAGGAACTATATTGGCAGCAAAACTTGCGAAAGAGAGAGGGTGGGCCATTAATGTAGGAGGCGGTTTCCATCACTGTTCTGCTGAAAGAGGAGGTGGATTTTGTGCATATGCAGATATTTCTATATGCATCCACTTTGCTTTTGTTCGATTGAATATATCAAGGTACTGCTATATCTAGGATATATGGTTACAAGTTACCAGCTGCTACTAAGTAACATTTACCTGTATAAAGAAGCAGTTTCTGTATTTGTCTGCAAAATATACAGGGTGATGATCATTGATCTTGATGCACATCAAGGAAACGGTCATGAAATGGACTTTGCCGTTGACAGTATGGCCAAAACAATTTCTCATGATGTTTGGATTGATATTTCTAGGAATCCGACTCATGGTTTGTAATGGCAGGCCGTGTCTATATCCTGGATATGTACAACCCTGGAATATATCCTTTTGTAAGCCATCTACTCTTAGATCTGTTGTGCATTATCTCTTCAAAAACCACCCAGTTTCTATTTATTTTAAGCAGTTGTTCTTCTCTATTCATTCTCCTTATCTATTTAAGGATGCTGACTAAAATGCTGCCAGCATGCACCAGGTTATTGTTATGCCATACATTTTGTTTATCATTGTCCTTTGCCTTGTTAGGGGGAATGAATGCTTCTCTATCTGTATCCCGTTGCTGTCTGTGGACTGAAAAGCATATAAGACAAATTTTCTGTTTTTCTTTCAAACTAGGAATCAAAAATTGTTGATCTACAAAAATAGGGAGAATTTATGTCAAGCTTGATGTGATATGGATCTCTTTGATTGCACCAGAAATCGATATGCAAACTAAACAAAGTATGCAGGAAAAGGTGCAACTGATACAGTATTGAAAATGGCTTTATTAATACATGTAGCATTTACCTTTTTACTGTAATGTTTTGCAATTATTTAAGAGTATTGTTTATTTCACAAAGCGTGAGAAGATAATGAGAGAACATGTGCCAGGGGGAGCATAGGTAGTGCATTAACAACAGATAATCTTTATGTGTTATTAACTTGACCTGTGCAGCGGATCTGGTAGGGTTATCATTCTTTTTCTGTATCTTGGTCAACTTCTGACAATCTGTTATATCCGGCTCTTTTTTCCCCAATTTAGGATTATGAGGCAAGGCATTACATAAATCAGAAAGTTGAAGTGAAGGTGCCTGTTCATCATCTCTGTGAACGCCTTGATTGTGTAGGTCCTAATTGCTCTTATCTGCTTTTATGTTAATTACTCGTTTTCTGAACCCTCTTTCAGAGCGGGACACTTACTGAAGAGTACCTGCAAAAATTAGACAAAGCACTTCAGGTATTTCATCGTAATCATTGCTATCTTCTAATCTTTGTTGGTTTGAATAGTTTACTGCCCGAATACTATTGGGTGTATCCATTCAATTTTTATGTTCTTCATGAAACATTAATCATATTTTTCCAATTATACTCTTTTCTTCACTGATTAAGTACAAGGCATCATCAATTACTGAAGTAACTTAAGAGCATGATAGCAAAGTCAAAAGAAATTTTGACATAGTAATTGCATTTCTTAATCTATATATTGAAAGTTCTAGACAATAAGTGATTGACCAAAATGCTACAATGGAACTGATATTAAGATAGGTTTGTCAGCTAATTTTTTTTTTTTTCCTTTTTGATGTAATTCAAGGTTGCTGGGAATAGGTTTGACCCTGAGCTGATTGTTTATAATGCTGGGACTGACATCCTTAAGGGTGACCCATTAGGCAGGTTGAAGGTAAAGTCATTTATGGGCTTACTGTTTTGCAGTAAATAATCAACTTCTATTCATTGACTTCGGGGGCCGGTCACTATCTCCTATCAGTAGTTTCTATGTGAAACAAATAAATCGTTGCAAGAGTGTATTTTGCGTTGGTTTTCTTTTAATTTACCGTAGGTGGTGCATGTGTTTGGTTTGTACATGCAGATCAGTCCTGAAGGGATTGTGCAAAGAGACGAGAAAGTCTTCCAATTTGCTCGTGAAAAGAACATTCCAATTGTCATGCTCACATCAGGTTTTCTGCTTCAAGTATTTCTCAGCTTATTTCAATACTTTTATTGCGTTGTCCTTCATATAGCCTTCCATGTTATCAGGTGGTTACATGAAATCCAGTGCTAGAGTCGTTGCGGATTCAGTTGTCAATCTATCTGCGAAATGTTTGATACAGACGAGTAGAAGTCCAACTTCTACATAAGATGCTCCTGCACTGAAGATGCGTCGCAGGAGTTTTCATGTCCTAAAAGTGTATGCATTAGAATGTTGCTATATCAGAGTAACTTGCATGTGTAGTTTTGATGTAAGAATAGTGTATGTAGGAGTTGCAACTTGCGAGGACACTTATGGTGAAGATGTATGCATTAATAACAGCATAGATGAGTTTGAATTTATAATGTATTTTGTCATCTTGGCTGCAAGAATTTGGACCAAGTAAGAAAAATCACGTGAATTTCTATCTAGATATTATTCATTATATTTAAGAAAATCATGATGAACAAAATTTCATTCAACCTCTTTTGACAAGTGATGAAGTAACTATTTCAAACATTCGAAATGAGTTCTGTGCGTTAACATGTAACAGTAGTAACAATAATGATCTTGGTTAGAATATATTACAGGGGAAATATTACTAAAGGATCACCAGAGGCATTTTATTTCAAAGAAGGAGCTGAGATTTTGATTTTTCAATCCATCCCCTTGATCCTTAGTTGAAAATAAATTGTTATAAAAAATAACTAAATTACTCTTGAAGTTTGAAATAAGAAGTGCTTACAATCTATAAATAACATATCATGATTAATAATAAGAAGTTTAGAATTTAACAAAATTAAAAATTAACAACGCATGTTTAATGAATAAAGTGTTCACTTTGTACAAATAACTTAAGTTTTAACAACAATCAATTTATGATTAATAATAAGAAGTTTGGAATTTAAAAAGATTGAAAAACGAATAGCACATGTTTAATAAAACAAGTGTTCACCTTATATAAATAATAAGTTATTCAAGTTTTAACAACAATAAATTCATGATTAATAATACATTCAAAATTTAACAGAATTGAAAAAAATGATAATGTAGGTTTAGTGAAATGAGTATTCACTTTGAATAGACAACAAGCCAGCTGAGTTTTGACGCCAAATAATTCATGATTGATAACAATAATTTAGACTTTAATAAGATTGAAAAATTGACAATATGGATTTAACGAAACAAGTGTTTGCCTTAATAAGCAATATATTATTCAATTTTAACAATAACTAATTTATGATTGACAACAATATGTTCAAACGTTAACAACCAATTTCTATTTAATTATTTCTCTTTTATCAAGGGGAGCAATTAATTCATTTCCTGTAGAACATTTTTTTTAACTAAGAACTAAGAGGGTTCAATAAAAAATTAAAATCTTAAAGTTCTTATTTAATATAAAATATCTGTGGTAGTCCACAATTGATATTTTTTCTATATTTTATAACTATGTTGTCCTCCGCAACCAAAAGTAGATTCCCTGTTTACATGGAGTTGGAAAAGTATTTATCTTTTTGCCTAAGGAATGATAAAAATTTTAGTCTCTCAAATTTACTTTAATTATTAATTTAATTTTTTAAGTTTAATCTTTATTGATTTGATTTTTTACATTTTCTCAAATTATTATGCTAGTACTTTAAGTTTTAAAATATAAATTAAATTTTAAATTAATTCAATGTGTAAAGTATACTTCTTTTGTCCAAAAATAAAGATATTTTTTAAGAGTTAAAAGTTTAAAAATATAAGATATTTTTAATATTTTAAGGTGTAACCATTGTATTTTTTTAAAGTATCCTTATTAAATAATTAGTTTATATTTATTTTAGAGTAAAAAATTTATAACATAGGGTAAATATAAAAAAATAGTATTAGTTTGAAGATAAGTAATTATTTTTTAGGAAGGGTAAAATTCGTTTAAAAATGCCTTATATTTTTTAACAGATGAAGCATGTTAATAACTCAGCACATATAAGTAGTTAAATGAGAATAAATTAGTCATCAAATCAATTTAATTTTTAGCAGTACAATCTACTTTGTTGTATTCTATTAATTTGGCTTCCAAAAAAAATTGAGTATGTTTTTCTACATAAATAATTACACGCTTTTAATCAATTAACATGGCTACCATCAATATACCCTTAGCCAAGCTAGTAAATTTTAATAATGTTATCTATTCTTTAAGTAATAAGAATCAAAACGATAATTGAGACAATTTTTAAATATTTAATTAATAAAAAATTAAATATAAAAGATTAAATTGATAATTAAAATAAATTTGAGAGATAAAAGTTTCATTATTTCTATATTTAATTTGTATTATTAATCTTATCTGCAATATGGGAGGGACCTGATTGGAATCAACTAATGTCTGAGCTAATATGATTTGTTTATATGCATGCTTCTCAAAACTTCGATGACGAAGACAAGAATTAATTTGCAGTACCTTATTCTTTAAGCTGACCTGTTGCCGAGTGCCTAGTAGCAAACAGTATATGTAATAATATATTGAAGTAAACAGAGATACTGATGTGGAAGCAAGAGAGCGTGGCGTTTATAAGCTCGAAGGGTCGTGACATTTCTGGTGCTCCTCCAATAGGAAAATGGTAACGTTCATTCTTAACTGCCAATAATACGAGCTTTGGGACAGACGAAGGGAAGGACGAAAAGCGTCGGTCCAAAGACACTTTCCCTTTTCAGGAGTTCGTCCGCTTTATAGCTTCTGGATTTCTCTATTGAAAATAGTATTTTAGTACCACAGGAATATGGGTGAGTCATTGATGTGGAACTTCATGATTGAATTGTGGTTTAAATATAATGGAGGTGGAATTAACAATGAATAGGGGCCAGTGCCAGGCGCTCACAAAATGGAGAATCTCAAGTTCCCAACACATTACACAAGTCTAAACAGAAATTCCAAATACAGTCATAAGCCCAACATGCCTAGTTGTTGTACAGTACCCCATCTATATGTTGCGTTGTTTTTCTTTTTTCTTTTCCTTTTTCTTTTTGTTGGGTTGGCCTTAAACTTCGCCACAGAAGAGTCGACAAGCATGACCATGCATGTTGGAGTCAAATCAATACATGATGATAAATAAATCCACACACACGCCGCTGGTTTTTTTTTTTATTGTTTATAGATTTTCACTATTGAAAACATTCCTATTATTGAACATTACATGCGAGTATCTCTTACAACAAAAATTTAAATTTAAATCTTAATTCATGATATTATAATATATCAGTTCTTCTATCACAGATCTAATCCATTAATGCCACTCTTGCATTAGATGAGAAGGATAATATGATAAAATGCAAAATACCAAGCCCATGTGCACAAGACTGCAAAGCAACCTTAACATTATAGAATTAAGGATTTATTTGGTTGGAAGGGAGGAAAGGGAACCCTCCCCTCCAAATTTGGAGGGATCCCCCCTCCCCTCCCCTTTAAACAAATATAGTTTAAGAGTTTGTTCATTGCACTTCTCACATGATCCATGATCCATCTATATATCTTGCCTCGCCTAATTAGTCTCTTCCTCTAGTAATTGTCTTCTTGCTTATGTATGTTTAGTGTAAGGAAAAATATCTTTTGTAAAACAAATGAGAAATGCACAACAATTTCATTTTTAAAAATACCTTTCTAGCTACCAAACGTTACTTGTATATTTTAGTTACACAATTCAAAGGTAGTATATATCGTATCAATTTGACTTATATAGAATACGCTTGCAAGACGTTGAAAAATTTGACAGCAATACACTTGATTTCTTTTTCCCATACTGCTGGGAACAACAATGACGTTTTGTTGGGGATATATATTTGATATTTAATATGAATCTTTAGGTGGTTATGGTATTTGTGTGTGTGAAACGGCATGTTTTTACTATTCTAAAACATCGCCCTTTGATGTATAAGCCTCCTTCAATAAAACTAGCCCAATTAATTGCCTCGTGCGCTTAAACTTTGGGCATGCACCTCACCTATAGTATGTGGACACCATAATTTGTGTGCGTGTATATGTATTGAAACCAACAAGTCAACAACATTCTTAATAGCCAGGTAGCCAGAACAAATTAAGATTGTCGTCTTGCGTGCGGGAACCAGGTCTATGTATAGTAACCTATTACCAAATTTGAGTTTTCTTAAAGATTGATCAACATAATGGGCCTCCTTCAGCCTTGTCAGTTTTCGAATATATTATAATATGGAAAAGTCAGGCCTCAAAAGAACAACGGAATCACCCAACAGTCTAGTCTATTTCCTCCGTCAAGTCGCCAAGGACAAGCCCCGAGAATTTTAAAATCAGAAACAACACTTCTCTAATAGCTAGATTATGTGTGTGGTCCACCCCTTTCATTCACACTTTTTTGATTAAACACCGAGACGTAGGCACTCGCATCCATACATGGTCCTGAATCCGGATCTTGCGGTATATATATGTATATATATATATAACTGAACTGTCCAGGGCAAATATGTCACTACTCGTAATATATCCAAAAATAAATACACAGAGATCCTCTTGTGTGAGAGCCCACCTTCACTACTCATAGCTAGCTTCCAATGGCCTCAGAAGCACAGTTTCACGGTCTAACAGCAGCAGAATTTGCAGTACTTGAGCCCATCATCAACAAATACCACAAATTCGAAGATCGTGCCAGCACATGCACTTCCATCATAACACAGAGAATCGAAGCTCCGGCTCGAACTGTGTGGGGTTTCATACGGAGCTTCGAGAGCCCTCAGAAGTACAAGCACTTCATTAAGAGCTGCAACATGAGAGGTGACGGAGGCGTGGGCAGCATCAGAGAGGTCACGGTGGTTTCGGGTCTCCCAGCATCCACCAGCACCGAGAGGCTCGAGATCCTAGACGATGACAACCACATACTCAGCTTCAGGGTAGTGGGTGGCCAGCACCGACTCAAAGATTATCGCTCCGTCACGTCGGCGAACGAGTTTCAGACGGAAGATGGCAAGGCGTACACTATGGTCGTGGAGTCATACATCGTGGACATACCTCCGGGAAATACTGCAGAGGATACGAAGATGTTCGTGGACACTGTGGTGAAGCTCAACCTTCAGAAACTCGCCCTCCTTGCTATCTCAACCCTCCACGCACACCGTTAGTTAATCTGTGATCAGTATGCTACTGATCATGTTTGTCTGTTGATGCTCATCCTTATTGCTACTGATTCCAGCTTGCTGTTACTTTGATTGTTTCTTCGTCTTAAATATTTCTTAATAAGAAAATCAGTTTATTATGTCGTCACTGATCATGATCACGACTTAGCGCGGTCACTATAACTTTTTTAATTCGTTGGAAATTAAACTGGTTCAAAACCATGTATCATGACACGAATAATATATAATTCCCGTCATAGTTTCTTACTGTGGTGGCGCAGCGTCAAGGAATAGGATTTAAAGCTTCCATGTTTAGAGAGTCAATGATTGATATATCCACTTTCAGGGTAATGGATTATAATATGAGACTAAAATATAGAGGTGATAGTAGCTAGCTGGCAGGGCAATGCCATACAAAGAAGGAACGGAAAAAGAAGCAGCAAGTGGTGGGATGGTGGGTGGGGAGTTGAGAAACTTCTCGTGCGGCTTAAATTAAATGTGAAGCCTGATTTCAACGGCATGGACCAAAAAGTGAGAGAATCTTGTGTGCTCACCTGTGAGTTCCCACTTTCACCAACACACGAGTAGCGTGTGGCTATCAGTATCACTCCATGTTATCGGGTAACATGAAAGCTGCTTCTTTTAATTTATTGCTGTTGCCGATTACTGATGATTTAGTGTATGGAAAACACTCCTCTCTAATTCACCCAAATCACCCCCGTGTCGCTGTTAAATATATTAGTCTGCTGTTGGCTGCACTTTTTTTTTTAATCTTTTTTTAAAAAGCGGGCAATCTAAGACCCAATTACAGTCCTTATATAAGACTTATTAATCATTAATTTAATGTACTTAACTTTTTTTTTTTTTGTGTTCTCGATAATCAGTCATAATTTTCATGACATGCTATCAGTACTATTTATTGTAGTTGATGATATTTAACTCAAATAATTTTGTTGGAGACAGGATAGGGGAAGGATTATGTTTATGTCTTCACAATATAATTAAATGCTAGGAGATTCGTTGACAATTGAGTATAATAAAATGATCGACAACGTTAGTTGTGAATGAATCTTACGAGATATATACATATACGTACACATATATATTTTGGTTACACCTTATGATATTTCATTACCGTTTGCCACGCACGAAGCACATATTACAAGAATGGGCTTGATTTGTTCATTGGGCCTGAGATTGGCCCTAAACTGCATTGGACTAATGATTTATGGAGGTGGCTGATGGATTCAAAAGCTTATGACCAACTTTACCAGAAAGAAATTATCAAACAAACAAAAAAGTTTTAAAAAAGAAAAGAAAAAGCCTATCACCAGCTGGGAAGTTGGTTTACCTCTTTCTTTTTCGTCATAAGAGTTGGTTTCTACAATTCTACTTTGCATGTCCAATTGCAGGGTGGTACTTAGTACTTTGAAAACAAGGTTATTGACAATTTAGTATCTATTTTATGAATGTAATTGTTCATGTAATATTCCTTCCCATAGTTATTATAAAAACATGTTAACTTCTTTAACTAAATTAAAAAAACTAGCTAAAATTATTTAAGTATAAAAAAAATAGTTCAAAACACCCTTGATAAGTTAAAAAAGAAAATTTCCTTTCTACCATTTGTTTGCCAAGGGGAAAAAAATTCGCACCTTCTTTCCAATCCCTCGTATTATGAGTTTGCTGCGTCATGGCGCCTTTTTGCATGACTTTGTTATTATTATTGTTATTTTATGTTTTTTTGCTTACGCATCCTCATGCATTTGATATCCTAGACAAACTATCTTTTAGATATGATAACGGCCTCAACTAATCTAAAGTCGCTCATGATCAGGCATCTCAAAGAGTGGAAGAACTGGCTAGAGAACATTTTTCCATACCCAAACAAGGATCGAACCCTTACCACTCAACCACATGCCCTTAGTTATATCCGCTTTGTTATTTAAAGTCTTGGATGGTTGTTATAAAAGAAAAATAGAAGGCAAAAAAGAAAGAAAAACATTTTCATTTTATCAAAAAAAGAAAAAAATTATAAATCAATTATAAATATATTACATTAAAATTTGTAAAAATACTGTACCACTTATAAGCACAAAATAGTTATGAAACTAAGAAAGTTATCAGAAGTAAAACAATGTTCGGTGCACTGAAATGTATTTTTTAGAAAGAAAAATATAATTTTTTAAAGTATTTTTTTTTTTGTTTGGCCTGTCAAACATCACATGAAGTTGTTCAACTTCAACGCATACCAAAGTGTCAATAATTTTGTCACACAACTTCACTATTTTTTTTTTTTTTCACACGCATGCTAAAGACAATTTTATTTGAATTACGGGTACAAAATGTATGCACCTTCCCACCACGGGATTCCCAATCACACAACTTCACTTGTAATGATTTTTGACTACAGACGTAGAAATAAAAGCAGGGGGCTTGCCAAAGGTGGGAAATAAAGGTAAGGGGTTTTTGCAGAAAGTAAGGCCAAGGCCCACTTGTATGACAGAGTTGGTTTTGGCATTTATGAGGAAGAATGGGCACTTCACTATGCTCACACAGTGATCCGTATTATCCTAAAGCTTACACATGCCCCACCAATCACCCTCTCTCTCTCTCTCTCTCTCTAAATCACCTTTCTTCATCCCTACCTTCCGTCACCAACATGTGCTTATTCGGTTCAGTGTTCACCTACCATCTTCGTTGTTTTACACTCGTGAATACAAGTAATGAAATCCTTGCAATGAACGTTTATAAGCTGCAAAAAAATCATGACGAATTTGAAATTTTATATCGTTCTTCTGTCCAAAATCATCTGAGCATTGATAAAGTCGTGGACGATGGAGAAAACCTCAAAAGGAAAAAGACATTATCCGCCTCGAGGCAGGACTATGATTTGGCCTTTCAAAGATGGATAGATGATCCTACGAAAATATTCAGATAAATTACCATTGCATTGAATCCAGAGGCCGTGCTCCTGCGCACTTACTAATTATCTAGTTTAGTTAATTATTATACCCCGTGCCCATTACGGTGCCTCTTAGAAATCATGCTCATGCAGGACTGGCCCACACAATCAACGACATGGGATTAATAGGTTCACTAATAATAGCTATAGTGAATTAGTCAAAGATCTTCGCTGCTCTTTTTCATCATTTGTTTTGGCCTTGCTTACCTCATTTTATCTGTGTCTGGCCACCCTCAAAGAAAAGCACTTTGCTAAAACAGTGGTTTTTTTCTTTCCACTAACCTCTAGTTGTTGCAGCCTCGAGGGAAAGTTAGGGACTTTTTTTACTCCATTTACTCATCTTTCTCGTCACAGTACGTTTCTTGTTTTTAAAAGAGCTAAAAAGCGAAGGCTTTCGTTGAGTAGCACCTGCCATGAACAGAAGTTGGAACAGAGAGAATCCATATATTTTGATAGCGATGGTTACAGAGCAGCAGATAATAAGATGGGGTGAGCGAGGAGGACAAAAGAGATCAGAGCGAGGGGCAAGAAATGGGCCCCTCAAAGCCTGCTTCAGAAATGAGTGCCCCTAACGTCCTTTCTCTCTCTCTTTTCTCTGCGGCAGAGCTTCTTCCTCCCTCTGCCTCTATTAATGAGCCACTTTTGTCCCTCACCATTCAAACATGCGCGCATAGCCTCCTTTTTCTTCTTCTTCCATCGTATATGTATGTTTTAAGTGTGAGTGCAAACTGTTGAGAGAAGAAGACAAGAATGGGGCCATAAGGAGCAGAAGTATACCGCCTCATTTTTTGGGTTTCCGGCATGGTTTAAGGTTTCAACTTCGAGCAAGGTAAGCTGGGAGCTACTGGTTCCTCGTTGGCCTCTTTCCTTGTTTTGATCATACACAACAACCTGCTTCTGATCTCTCGTGCATTTCTGCTTTTGGCTATCGTATGTAACAATTGGACCTTACGCAGAGCTTTTTTCCCCCCTTCCCTTGCTCTCCAGATAACCGGTGGACAAGTACGTATACGGGCTATCAGCTGTCAAATATTCGGACCGTCTCCGGTTCTTCAAGTAATACAGTGACTTACCTTGCTTTCTGGTGGATGAGGACACCATTTGCAGCGTAAAGTAAGTTTGTTAAATTTTAAGCGTCCAGTTGATACATTATACTTGAGAGGAGTCTGAAAGCAATCTGATGTCAAATTTTTAACTTTTGATGTATTGTCTACTGTAGAACTTAAAATTTGGGGCCAGGATTCATCAATTAGGAAGTCATAGAATCGTCTATTCATCTCGCTTATTATTCCCTGGTTTTATTTTCCTGTTATGTAGCTTCGATGCGGCTTTGATATATAGCCGATAAATGAACAAAGAGAGTTCTTGAAAGGAAGAAAGATATCGAGATTTTTTTCCTCCTATCAACCTAGAGTAGATCCCTTAATCATTATGTGGATGCAAAAAGGAATGTTGAGTGCTCCTGAGGAGATAGGTGGCCGGGATTCAAGTGTCATAAATGAAACTCCACAAAATGCGACGCCCAACTCACTCATTCAGTGTTATTCATTAAACCTCAATGGCCAAACCCGTATCACAGATGGAATATCAATGCTTTCTGGTTCTGAAGTGCATGGTGCATCTGTAAGTAATGTGAATGCGCACCTGATAAATCCTCAAAGTATTGATTCTGATATACTTGCTTCATCGCAAGGAAAGAACATTTTTGGATATGCATCACATGGAACTTCATGTCCCATGAATAACAGCGAGTTTCAAGAGCAAACAGCTGGAGGAACACCAGTTACCCCTGCTTCACTTGCTGGTATTCTTGCTGCTAGAATTGGTCTTCAAGAAAATTTAGAGAAACCACAAGGTTTGTCTCCTTCATTCAGTTCATTGGACTCATTGGGACCTTTTGTGTTAGACAATTGGTCGTATATTCCAAACCATTTGCATTTAACTTCCCGAGACCATGGCTGCAACAATCATATGCCTGATGGAAACTTGGATTCAAATGGGTGGGCCTCATCAAATGTTACAAACTTGAGCAGCCATGCTTATGTTTCACCTAAGTTTAGTAATGAGCCTGTACTAAGTCTTGCAACATCTCCAGCCACAGGCCAGTTATCAGAGGTGAGTTGTTCTGATGAAGTCACCCGTTGCTTCAATAAAACAAGGTCAGGCTTGGAACATCCCTCTTGCAGCAACAGGGAGCTTGCCATGAGTTTGAACTCAAACAGACACTTTCATTTTTCACAAGCAATGTCGGGATCAAGATATCTTACTGGAGTTCAGGAGATACTCGCTCAACTTGCAAGATTTTCACTCGAGAATCTTGAGCAGGTAAGATATTCAGAAGCAAGTTCTATGTTCAAATTCCACATGGAAGCTCCATTGCAAAGACATGCAGCTGAATCCAAGAAATCCCAGCTGCTGACACTATTAGAACTGGTATGAATCGTACATCCTTATCTCACTTGTCGTGGTGGCGATTATTGTCCTGGTTGATTCAGAGATGTAATTATGTTCATTTTTTTTTTTCATGTTTCAATAATTGATGGATGGAAAATGATTCAAATGAGCTCATCTTCTTTTGACTCAGGTGGACAACCGATATAATCAATGTTTGGATGAGATTCATACTGTCGTGTCTGCATTCCATGCTGCTACAGAGCTGGACCCACGCGTTCATGCGCATTTTGCTCTTCAAACAATCTCTATCCTATACAAGAACTTGCGAGAGAGGATTAGCAATTGCATTCTTTCCATGGGGCCAGATTTTGACAATTTATGCACAGTGGACAATGAAAGATCTGTTGAAACTTCACTCATCCATAAGCAATTGGCTCTCCAACAGTTGAAACGAAAAGATCATCAATTATGGAGGCCGCAAAGGGGCTTGCCAGAAAACTCTGTCTCAGTCTTACGTGCCTGGATGTTTCAGAACTTTCTCCATCCGTGAGTTTTGTTACTATAAGATATATTATTTATGAACCCCACAAATATTAAACTCCAATTTGTCAAATATATTTCTATAAGATATGATTGATGGATTTCCAGGTATCCTAAAGATTCAGAGAAGCATTTACTTGCACTAAGAACTGGGTTGACGAGAAGCCAGGTACGTGCTTGCTGGACCGAAACTCGATCATTGAGCAAACTGTCTTAATCGTGATGGTGCCTTTTTATGATCCGATTTTCTGGTTTCTATGTGAACAGGTGTCTAACTGGTTCATAAATGCTCGTGTTCGGCTATGGAAACCCATGATTGAGGAAATGTACGCTGAACTGGATCATAAAAGAAAGGCTAGTCGAAATGAAGGAGGAATAGAGAGCAGCCATGGAAGGCTTGAGCGATGAAATATGAGGAAACATTTCTGGATCATAAATGCTTTTGTGAATCAAGTCTAACTGAAGACAAATCACATAATTTGCCCTGCATAGTTGGATATTGCAGGTGTACAGTGCTAATAGAAATCTACTAATAGGAATCTACTTTCAGTGATAATTCGACAAAAGGTGCTTTAATTATCGAGCGTTTTAAAGTAGTGCTATCGTACTATTCGTTCTTAACTTCGTAACATTTAGCCTAAGCTAGCTAAGCTTGTTTTATCGATCTGGTTCCGTATCAAGTCGGTGATCATAATAGTTTATTAAACTTACAAGTGGTAAATTATTCTTTTATCCCCGAGACACTGGTAAATTTTCGCACATGTTCATGTTATGTGTATAAAATAAACATATATTTTTAAAATAGAAAAATATTATCATAATTATGTATATCTATTTTTTATTACAAGAGTTTAAACCTACCAACACTCATGCATGCTTCCCAGTTACCACTTGAGCTAACTAAATGATGAATTCCAAACTTTAAGTGGTTGTGTTTGTTAGCATTCATAATAACCACACACTTCAAGTCTCTAAGTTTTAATATAGTCAGTCCTTCATAAAAATAATAATAATAAGATAGATGCGTCAACGGGGGAAATCAAATGACAGATCCTGGTTCGGTATTATTTGAGAAGACACTAGTCTTCCCTTGGAAATAGAGTGCGTGTGCGTGTAACTTCTTGCATGCACATCAAAGGTTCACAGGGCTTCTTTTCATGACTAATTTAGAAACATAAAGAATAAGAGAAGCAGGCGATGACAGCTACGGTTACCCGTTACCCCATAAGCCAACTCTTCGAGATTGAACTACAAATTCCAACCATGAAGAAAGCTCTCCCTAAACTAGCTTCCAAAACACGCTAGGTTCCTATCAAAGGACCAGCTTCTCAATGTGTTTCCGGTTTACTAGCGCAAAATGACTGACCTGCCTGGCATCTTCGTATGGTTGCTGCCCCGCCCGTTACTTAGGAAACTGAGCGAGACCGAAACATCCAGCTCACTGCTGAGGGAATACAATTGAGCTTTCCCTCATTGAGTTCTCCTGAAACTGGCACCTCATAAACTTTACCTGTGGTTTAGTCTCATCCACAATACCTTCTTTGCGTTTTCTTGTTCCATCAGTGCTGCTATTATTCACTCTATCGTCCGAAGACAAAACCATGGCGTCCATAGGATCAGCCATCTCTATATCGCAGGCGTCAACTTTATCTTCCTCTGTCCCTCTGCGACGAGAGTATAGAAAGAGATTCTTACCCGCATTGTAACAGGAATTTTTTATGATTTGGAGACCGTACTCAGTTCTTGATGTAAAATACTCAGCTTTTGCACGTAGCTTGGCAGTATCCCCATCGAAGATGGTCAATCCTTGATCCTCAACGACTAGAAGCCACTCTGATTGTTAAACCATGTGTTAGACATTTGAAGAAGAAAAATTCTTACAGACAACAAAGAACAAAGAAAAACCACAAAGATGGGAAGCTTGTCTCAGTTAACTGCTATGAGTCCAATCGCCAAGGCAATGACAATGCGACAAAATGGATTTCAAAATGGAGCCACATTCACTGAAATAGATACTTATAACAGCCATTTGAAGCTGCAAAAGTAACAGCCTAAGAGACAAAATTTGCGAGAGTTTCTGAATATTTTCCAAGAACTCACTTATAAGAGCTATAGGAGTGGAAACATTTGGTCGGCCAATCATTCCGCCAACACTACCCTGACTAGTAACCCAGTTAATCAATTGAATAGGTATGCATGATCTAGAGAAGCCATTTAAATAAGAAATAGCTTTATCTTGATCGCCTTTGTCCCTGTGATCAACCAGATCATGAGACCATCAGCCAATAATTTAAGGAACCCTTTGCTCCATCACAACAAGAGTCGTTTCTCATACCTAGCAGATTGGATTGCCAAGTCAGTGACAAACAACCACGTTAAAGCGAGATCTTTCAAGCTTTTGGGACATGGTGGAACTCTTGCTTGAGGGTTAGTAAAGGAGTACTCTACCATCATAACAGCATTGAATAGGACTTCTTTAAGAAGAGCTTCATTTCCAGAACCCTATATAGTAAATGAAGTAATTAGTTGTTGAACCAAATAATATTATATCCATCCTATATATCTCTATGTTTAAGTATATATCGGTAAGGACATAATTCATTTTATATAACTAAACTCTTAATTTAATTGTTCAAGAAGACGGGCTAATAAACACCATAAATAGCTAATCCACCAATCCTTTTCAAGGGTAACATACTGAAAATCACATGTCAGTATTTGTTTATGAAGAAGCAGTAAACTAAATCATCTTAATGGAAAAGGTTTGATACATTTAAGTTTTAAAACTACTAAATCTAAACTACTTACTAATTTTGCCTTACCTCAAATATCAAATGAAGAATATAACTTAAGGTAAACTGACGTGAACAATATGCTACACAATAGCTCACTCCATTCATATTCTCATCCGTAAAATATGTTTCAGCCTGCCAGCGAGGGGGCAGTGGCCCTGGCATCTATTAAACTTATGCCTCATGCGCAAAGGCATAGAAGTCTCCTCAATTCTCTTGCGAGATCTTGAAATTATTCAAGGCTAATGTTATGGCGCCTTAAGCTTTGTGACCCAGACATCACCCGCGGGGGAAGTACGTGCTTTGCCTAAATGTAAAACCCAATAATTCCAAACTGCAAAGTATCACCAAGGAAAACTAAAATAAGACATCATACTGACCAGTAAGTTTACCACTGGCAAAACTGGCTCCAGCATCATCCTGGAAAGGGTATCTGATACCAAAAAATAATAATAACAATAAGAATTCAGGAGCTGCAAACATGAAACTAGAATAGGATCACCCCAGGATGCTCAATAAGTTCAACAAAAGATAAGTTGAAAAAAAACAAACAAACAAAACAAAACCAACGGGGATACATGCATAGTACGCAGTCATTAGAATACCAAAACAGCCTTGAGGATTAGAATACCAATATAACTAAACGAAAAAACGTGCATTTCATCGAAGGATCAGCTCCCTAAGACCCAAAAATCCAGACTCTCAAGTAATGAAATAACGTGACTGAATTAAATTACAAGTTAAAAAGAGCGCAAGTTATAGCGTTTCAATTTCAATTTTCGTATGGAGGAACGAGTTTCTCACCCAAAAAATAAAAATTGCGAAACCCGGTGATGGTCTGAACTGCTGTACCGTACAATTTCTTCTCCTGCTCCGCTTTCGCAATCCCCGTTTCGAACTTCAGGCACAAATTCAACAAGAGAGCTTCACACATCACGATTCCGGCTAAGAACCCAATATCACATCCCGATTTAATTCCCTTGCAAAGTTGGTCGCTGATAATGGGGAAAAATTCTTTCGAGTGATCCCGAACCCCAGATTGATCAACTACCCACACGGGTATTACATCCAGGAAACTAGGGTCCAGACTAGTCATCCCATCGCTGTCTTCTTGAAGCTCCTTGCCACAGAAAATGCTACAATAACTAATCAGTCCTTCCAATAAGCTCTGGACATCGCTCTTCAAGTCTGTCTCCTCGAGCACCAAACGATGCAACTCAAAGACAAAAGGAGCTAGAATAGCAATCCTTTTCATCGAACCACAATAATCCGAACAGGAGACCAGCAGCTGGAATAAATCTTTGGCTAATGCTGCTCTTGCCGAAGATTCTCTCCGAACTGCTAATTTGGTAGTATGAAACCCAAGGGCCGAATAAAACCAGACGATTTCCAAAGGCGGGTCGGGCATGTTCTGCAACAATCGAGAAAATATGGAACTGAAATCGCAGAAATCAGTGACGCCATTCCTGTATTTAGTTATGAAATGATCAACTGATTCTTTAAGCATGGAATAATGAGGCGGTAAGTGGACGGTGTTGGGATTTTCGGGAGGGATCAATGGAGTTGGGATCATCTTAACTATGGCGAGAAGAAAATACGGACTTCAGTACCCTTCTGAAGGGGCAATACTCCAACCAACTTGAAGCTCTGAGCCTCTGATAGAGTTCTAATCTTGTAAAGCAACAAGCTGGGGAGTCAAAGGAAGACCGAAATTTGAAATGGGGGAAGCAGAATGAAAACCCTAGGCTTGCGAGTGCGGAAAACGGGAGGGAATATGGGGCAATTTGGCAACGGGCGACTTTTTGAATTCCGACCTGCTGTCTTGCATGCGTGTACAGTTAATGTCGTTATTTAACTACGCATTGGTGCTGCTTGCGAGTGGTCAAGTCAACCTGGATCATTACGTTTTTAAAAGGATAATTAAATAAATTAATTTTTTTTAAAACATGTGATTCCATTCTCTTATCATTTCTATATACTGTCCTTGGCTCGTAGAGAAAAATATAAAAAAATAAAAAAAATAAAAAAGAGAAAATAAGTGAAATATAACCTCTCATTGTGTTTAGCTAAGTGAGAGATAACTAAGAGAAAAAAAAATTATTAATTTTATATGAATAATAATAACCTTATTATTTATAAAAATATTTATGTAATAAAATTTAATATTATAATATATTATATGTAATAAAAATTATTACATATTATTGACTGAATAAAGATATTATTAGAAATTATTTTATTCAATATTGACAAAAAATATTTTATCCAATTTTAAAATTGTATTTACTAAATTATTAAATATATAGTAATCTTAAAATTTGAAACTATACTTAATTGAAAATTAACTTGAAAATTTAGAATTACTATCTATTTAATTAATCTAAAAATTAAATATATTACTTATTTAATAAAAGTTCATGATCAAAATATAATTACACTAGAAATATCATGACAGAAATAAAGGGAAGAAAGAGACAACAATGAAAAAATTTATAGGTAAATTTGGAAATGAAATTTTCTCCCCAAAATCTTCCCCTATCTGGAGAAAAAAATTAAAGGTAAAAACATGTAAGTCTTATATGTTATTTTTCTCTCACTTTTCTTTTCTCTCCATTTCTCTCTCCGTAGTCATGCAAAAAAAAATATTATTTTTTTCCCACTTTTTTCTCGCCCTCACTTTCCCCTCCAACCAAGCATAACATAACAAGGTTTGGGCAAAATAATGAGTTGCCTATGTTTTTGTCATAAAATAAAGTCATTTTTGAACTTTTTTTCCCCTCATTCTAACTCCTAATTACTGTAAGGCACTCCTAATTATCTCGAATCAATAAAATGTAATTAAATCACTAAGATAGCATACAATGAAATGATTTTTGAAATTTAGCATATTTAAAAACAAATTAAAAATATGGGTAATTGTAAATAGAGATAAGTTAAAAAAAATACTCATTCTGTTCAAAAATATAAAATATTTTTAACTGAATCTCACTTTCAATAAAATAGTTACTCTCTTCGATCCTATTTGTGAGTTATTTTTACCAACCCCATTAATAATAATACAACAAGAGTACAAGAAATAAAAATAAGTGAAATTTTAAATATAGCTCTCAAATAAAAGTAAAAAGTAAAAAAAATAATATAATATCATTTTTTATGTCTTTCTTTATCTTACTTTTTAAGGGTGGTTTAAGAATTTTAATTTGAAACAAAACAATCCCATCAGCTAATGACTTGTAAAATAAATTAGATTATACTTCTAGAAAGTAACTAATATACAGGAATGGAGGAGCATTGTTTTCAAAGTAATGATATTTTTTTATATTTACTTTTATTTAATATGGCGTTTCACTCTAAAATAAATATAGAGTAATTTTTTCAATTGAGACACTTTTGAACAGTAATGATTACACCTTAAAAAATTAAAAATATTTTATATTTTTGAACATTCAATCCTTCAAACAATTTCTTACATTTTTCTTATATTTTTTAACGAGATGATTAATTATTATTTAATATTTTTATATAAAGAAACTAAAATATATGACTACCTGATTATTCTATGAAGTCAATATGTGTGTGTATGAAAATACGGCTTGTAGAAGTCAATCCGCGTTCTAATTGACAGTCAAACATACACAGCTATTTGGATGAATATTTGCAAAGGCCATTGAGAGCGGTTGAGAATAGTTTATTCATCAACATACTCAAACTTATTATATTGGATATTTTTAAAAAAATTTATTTTGTTGAAAATGTAAGGCACGGGATAGTTTTAAATTTTTTTGGAGATATACTTTCATTTTATTTATTATTTTACATCTAAAAAAGGAAAATGATGTATAATTTTTTTAATAATTAAAATTTCAACTAATTTTTCTAAAACCACTGAACCAATACTCTATGTTATATATTGCGGGAGTAAATTCATCAAGGAAACAATTTATTTTAGCCATTTTTTAAAATCGCTTCACATCCATACATTGTAATTTGGGTTCTATTATGAAAAACCAAGTAGCTTGATAAAAACATCTATTTTTCCATTTTGAGGCGACAATTCAGTCTGAACATGCACTTCCAGCAACTGTGCATTAGCATCCCGAAAAACCTAGTTATCTAATGCATGACGTCACTACCCAGGATCACTAATCATGAAAAACATCTATCTAGTGCAGTTATCCTTTTTTTTTAATCTATGTCTACAGTTGCAATCTTGAATCCCAAACTCTCAATCAAGAAAGATAAGCACCAGAGAACATATCAAGCGCTGCAAAAAAGTTAAATTCAAGTAAATATCCTGTTTTTTTCCAACTGCAAGCACCAACTATCAACGTCACAAATATCAAGTGAAACACTTTAAAATATGTAACGACACTTGAAATTATTGCCCTTCAAAGATCTTCCAACCGATGTCAAATAGTTAGATTAAACACTTGATTCTATAACATCTTGCTAACCCTTAAGATTATATATAGAAACCATGTTGAAAGGAGCTCCCTTGAAAAAATAAATAAATTTCATTTACACGCTACGAAATAAGGAAAGTATGTAGAAACCCCAACGTTTGTCTATGGTCCTGGTTCTAGTTTCCATTTCTGGGGTTACTTACTCACAACTTAAACCTTTCAGATAGATATCTATCTTCCAACGCCGCAATGCTGTTTTTCAGTCTAGTATATTGTTTCTTGTTGCGAAAAGCCTCCGCACAAATAATTCTTTACTTCTTTATAGCCTATTTGATTCTAAAAATGAAGGGAATAGAAATAGAATGAATAAATAAAAATAAAAATAAAATGTTTAAAATACTAAAAAAAATAGGTGAATCATGTTCACAACGGACTATAATTTAATTCATAAAATTGTTATCATGATTTATAATATTTGTAGAAGGTGTGATGACTCCTATATTTATAGTGAATAATAATGAATATTATCATGCTTATTTTGAGAAGAATGAATATTTAATTATTTTTGTTTTAATTTTTTTAATTCATTCCATTTACATTCTTTCTAGCAGTTAGACAGGCTCATAATTTCAATGCACTACTTAATCTGTTCATTATTGTTATTCATTCGGGAAATAAGAAAATAAGGAGAGGAGTACTATCCTTCAATTATGACTATTTCTAAACTCCGGGCAAGCCCCCTAATTGATGAAAATGTTCTACTTCAGTCATGATGGTTCGAAAAAAAATACACTAATCATATATTAAATAACAATGATAAGGAACAAACATAACTCGTGTAGAATTAAATTCACTAGCTCGATATGTTTACTATCTCATATCTGAACCATTTCTCTGATAGTTTCTTATATTGCTGGTAATTTGGTGCAGGTGAAAGCCAATGTCTAGTCGACAATAAATCATTTTGCATATGATATACTTATCTAGCATTCAATATTATTAATCTGTAGAATCAAACAGGTACAAACTTAACCTTGTGGTTGTTTTTAATTAAATCAAAACATGTGAGCTTTTATAGATTATTTATTCTATAATAATTTTTAGTTATTAATTATTTTAGCACATTAAGATTCACATTGACTTGTCATAATTTGATTCAATATAAGTATATCAAGTATATGAGGTTGAGTACATAAACTTCACCCATCTAAATAAGTTTTTTTTTTACTATATTTTTTTAGCCAAAATCAATCTCACCATTCTAAACCTAATAACTTGTTTGGTGTGATGAAAATAGAACTGGAAGAAATGTTTATTTGGTATGGTAAAATTAAAAAATTTACTGAGCTTCCATTACATAACCTTAGTTTTCCAATTCCATCATCTCTTTGCCATTTTTTATCCCTTCCTCCTCTCTTGCCTAATTCCTATCAACCTCCCCATTGCCAATGAAAGTTTCTGTAACATCTCAAATTCTCACATTTTTAGTTAATTAAGTTAATAAATTCTTAAGAGAGTTTAAGGGTATTTAGACACTTTGAAAAATGATTTTATAATCGATTAAAGCTTTGAAAGAAAATGAGATGCCTTTGTAATTAAACATTCTTTAAGGAAAAATGATACTCCCTCCGTTCAAAAATGCAAGACATTTTTTGAGAAGCTAAATGTTCAAGAATGTAAGGTATCTTTAGTCTTTTAAGGTGTAATCATTGTCTTTTTTTAAAAGTGCTCCTATTGATAATGACTTTATATTTATTATAGGATATTTTAAGGATAAATATGAAAAGATAGGGTTAGTTAAAAAGTAAGTAATTACTTTATTGTGGGCAAAATTTGATTAAAAATGTCTTATATTTTTAAATGGAGGGAGTAACATCTTTGAGTCATTCATTTTGCATTAGAAAATAGACATCCCAAGCTTTCTATAGAGTTCTAACTCACATTTTTTGGAGATGTGTGGAATAAATTATGAATTTTTTAAGCTGAGTCAGTGATATGTAATGTCCGTGGTAGCAAACAATCCATTTTGGGACATTTAAAATGAGAAAACCAAATAGTAAAACAAAAGGGAAAATAAAAGAGGAACAAAGAGCTTAAGGCTCTGTTAAAGCAACACTTAAGCATCATTTTGAGGAGACCGTGAGCTTCAAATCGTTAAGATAATCATCTCCTCACATTCTTCTTCCTTTCTATGCATTTTTTAAGTTAGGTTTGGTAATAGGATTGATAATTTTTGGATCCCAAAAGTTAGATTGGAACCCATTAGTCTAAATACGACTAATGGAAGTTGTTTAAGCTTTTACACCTAGGTTTGATGATTTTATACTTCCATATGCATAGGTCTTTAATTTTGGACGAACCTCATATTGTAAAGTGTTGATTTTGAGTTGTTGGAAGTTATTAC